CGTGTCGGGGGACTCAGACCATACGGCGCTCTAGATAGGAATGATGCGGACGTGTCGGGGGACTCAGACCATACGGCGCTCTAGATAGGAATGATGCGGCTCAACGCCCGCACCCAGCAATCGTGCTCAGATGAGAGAGCGCCCACAGGAGGGGCGAGAGAGCGAGCGAGAAAGAGAGTAGAGAGATCAAAGAAGCCATGCCGCATGCGCTGTCCCCGGCGCGTCACGATGTGGGTCTTCGTGTTGTCCTGTTGAGGATGGAGCGTGCGATAAGAGGAGATGCAGAGAATTTCGTGTATTGAAGTGATGTTAGAGACGTTGAGTTTCCGCTGCTCGTAAGCTTGACCGGCCGCGGCGCCGTCGGCTTGCTCAACGCGTGTTACGCGTGCGAGGATGAATTGGAGGAGCCCGACACGCGTCTTGGGGGGGGGACCCCCCCATCTTTGCGTTACCGGGGTTGCCCCGACCCCGCGACGGGCAAGCCACTCCGGAGAGAGGTCCAAAATTTGAGTCTCTCTCTCCGAGTGTAAGCGAGAGTAGCGAGTACGTACTTTTAGCTTAATTGGAGAAACGGGAGAGAGGGGTGTGTGTGTTCTCTTGGCCCCCTTCTATAAGAGGCTCTTTAAAAGAGGCCCTCGCGTGGCGCGTGAGAGAAGACTGATGATGCTCCTTCGACTTAGGGAGCGGTTCAGCTGCTGGGCGGGCTTCAGGCTGGTGCTCACGCGAAAAGGAATCGACGCGATGTGCAAAGCATACAAGAAGGGGAGAGGGAAGAGGAGAGACGCCGGTGATGACGAAGCAGAAACTAGCGCAGACGAGAGCAGGGCAGACCCGGGGACTGGGGAGCCGGAGCAGACGGCATCGGCCGCCGAGGGAACGTTGGGAAGAGGCACGAGGAGGGCGGCGACCTCGACCGACTATGGAGGCCGTCGCCAGACGACGCAGGGCAGAAGACGGTGAGGCGGAGCAGACGCGCAGGGCGAGACTAGGGTTGCCTAACGTTAGGAGCTGAACAGTGTTGCTAGTGTTAACAGTAACAACAGAACAACAGTGGGGCTTCCCAACAACAGTAGCTAACGTTAGGCCGACTGAACAACAGTAAGGAAGGCCTGGCAGTGACCCACGACGATCTCTAGTGTCCAGTGCGGGTAATACCCAAAAATACCCGGGAAAACCCAGGTATTTTCGGGGTTTACCCGGTTTTTTGGCCATTTTCTGCTTGCTGGCCGCTGAACAACAGTAACAACAGTAATAAACAGTAACAGCATGGGCTGGGGTGAACACTTGAACAACGTTGAGGATTTCAGCCAACAATAGCGCAACTGTTAGGCCCCAAATTAACGTTAGGCAACCCTAGGCGAGACGAGGGAGGGAGCAGGACTTTGCGGAGATCAGCAGGAGGATGTACGAAGAGATTAGGAGCAGCAGGGACCCGAGGGACCATGTGGAAGACTGCTAGTGCTAGTCCCCCATCGGGAGGACGACCCCGGCTAGTCGCCGACCACACCCACAAAGAACCCTGCACAAAGATCGCAAGGGCGGGGACCTGTTCCTTTTTACCCATCTCACAGTAGAGAGAGGTGTGAGGTGCTCACCCAGGTTTCGGAAGTCCGCCTTGATGCGATCAGTTCCCCCCAGGTTTGACCGCGCAGCTCGCAAGACTCGTCGAGCACTCGCAGCCTCTCTGCGCCTCTCATGCTGCCGCGGCGCCTGCGTGCGGGAAGTTCAGTCTTTCCGGAAGATATCGTCGAGTTTTGAAAGCTGCGCGGTCAAACCTGGGGGGAAAGAAGAGCGTCACGACGGACTTCAGGTTACCCCTGAAGCTCTTCTGACTGACGCTTCTCACTCCCCATACTTCGTCTAGCTATGCGTCTACGAAGTATCTTTAATTAAGTACCAGCGTATGCCTACCTGGCGCAACAGCGGGATTTACCTGCCTACCCCGAAGATTTCCCGTCCACGCCGACGTCGGCTCGTCCGGTTTGGTGCTAGGCAAAGGGGCAAACGCCGCGGAACACCACCCGGTCCCGGTGCTTCTCGCTGAGCAACTACTGCGTGGAGAACCCCGATGCTGACAAAGTCGGATGCCGGCCAGCGATTGGGTTGCCGCCGGGGTGTCGCGCTCGCGCTGACCTGCTTCGGTGTCGCCGCAGGCATTCGTGCGTACAAACCCTTCCAGCCTCAAGGGGAGGGAAAGGAGATGGCAGAAGTAACGTCAAGGGAAAGGAAGGACGGTGCGGCGACCGATGAGTTCAACGCGCTCACCCCATGTTACCGCTGCAACGAGATCTACGAGGACTGTGGAGATCACCCATGCGCGGACGCTGCCAACTGCGGCGTTTGCGGCAGCATCAAATCTGACCCCAAAAGTTGCCAGCCCGATCCTGTTTCGCTCCGCTACCCGTGCGGGATGGATGAGGTGACAGAGGATCCGGATTGCGACAAGTGCTCGGAAACCTTTGGCCAGGGACCTGGCGATTGTGGCGGTGCACCATGCGAGGATGCTTGCGAATGCGGCGTCTGTGGGTCATACGGAAAATGTGACAGGTCCTGCAAAGCCGAACCAACGAAGGGTCGGCACAAGTGCAAGAAGCCCCATTTTATTGCACGACCAACCGTCGGAGCTTGCTCTTCCTGTCTACAGGACACCGCCGACCTTTGGAAAGGTGACTATACCGAGGAAGAATTTCGACACGGACACGCGAAGTTGGGGCATGCCAAGAACAACCTGTGCGGTGGGTCTCTTTGCGAGGACGCTTGCGGCTGCGGGGTGTGTGGATCCATCGCCGGGCGTTGCGATGCCACTTGCTACGCTTTCCCCCACACGAGGTTCCGGTGCACGCTAGACTACGAGCCACGGCTACCGATAAAGCCGATCTTTGCCCTTCCTCCGGGGGCCGGACCAGTCCCAAAAAAACGTGGGGCTGGCTTCAGCAACTCGGGCCCACTGTTTCCCGACGGGAAGCGCATATATAGCTGCGACGACGCCTCTCACCTAAACCTGGCCGATTCGTGGTTCTACAATTGGCACTCGCACCCAGACTGTGGAAAGGGCAACACCTGCAGCGAACCGATGTGCGGGGGCAGGGCGCGCGCGGCAGAATACGTTCCGATCATCAAGGGCTCCAAAGACTGCAAGCCATCGTGCAAGGCAGGTCTCGACCCCAACTACAAGCAGATATGGCGCGACTCTGGTGTGCGCCACCTCGGCGGGTTCAACGAGCCAGATCTGCACGACAAGCTCCCTGCCAAGAGGGCAGCGGAGCTCTGGGTGCAAGTGCAAGAGATTGCAGAGGAGTTCGACCCTCCGTTGGTGCCCTCTTGGTCATACGCCACCACACATGTGATAGTACACCTCTTCATCGCCGCGCGACTCCCTCCTAGGTGCTCTTTTCGCCGCAGCTGTGTGTTCGCTACTTCGATGGCAATCCATCACCCTGGCTAACACATTTCCTGGGCAACTGCAGCGTCATCGAGGGCTGCGACCCGGACAAAATTAAGTACATCGGCTACCACTACTACTCAAACTCTAGGGAGGAAGTGTTCACCGAACTGGCCGATCGAATCGCACGTTTCTACGAATCATTTGGCAAGAAGCTGTGGATCACCGAGATGGCAGTCGGTTTTGCCAAACAAGGCCGGCAGGTCCAGGACGAATGGATGTCCAAGACGCTGCTGGCGCTCGAGACGGACGACAGGGTGTTTCGGTACACGTGGTTTGCGACACGCAACCCGGTTGACCGCCCCCTCCGCATGGATGCTCTCCCGTGACCACTCACTCACACCTGAGTACATGCACACTTCCGTGCTCAGGTGCACGACTTCGTGCGAGAAAGCAGTCTGTTTGTTCCCGGCACCGAGAACCTTACCAGCACCGGCAAGCTGTATGCACAGGACTGGGACATCATTGCCAAGCATGCGGGCTTGATCCCCGCAAATGTGTCGCACAACCTCCCGGAGAAGGCCACCGCCGCATGTGAACCTTGGTGCGCTGGTCACACGCAGCGATGGAGCCTCAAATGCGGTTGGGAAAGTAAGTGCGCCGGGTGCGAACCGTGCTTGCGAGGCGAGTCGCGAGACCTCTCAGGAATGACATCATTTGGGATGGAGGCAATGGACGCAGTGCAATCGTGGTTCTCCCCCATCTGGAACCGCCTCTACCTTTAAACGCTAAGAGGTTCCTCCTTTCCGCACCCCAGATCCCCAGTCTCGAACGTGTGTGCTCTCTGTCTCAGTCTGTCTGTCAGCTGTTTCGGCTAAGTCGATTTCTGCCGGATTTCGATGTTAGTGGCAAACCGCGCGGAACCGAAAATGGCGTTTAATTTCGCGCACCTGCTGCTTTTGCGGCGGCGCTCCGCGCCGCTTGAGGTGCCTGCGGCGTCGCGCCCTCTCTCCACGACTATTCGTAGGGGCTATCCGACTTCCGGTTCCGCGTCTCGCACCATGGCGATGGCGCCAAAAGAGGTTCCTCTTTTCCGCGTCCCCCCCGCAAGGCGCGCGATCGATACACGTCTCATCTCCAGTTCTCCACCACCCGCAACGAGGCCCGTTCTTCCTCCCTGCTTCCTCTCAGCAGCCCATCGTCTCGTCCACCGCCTCGCAGGTCTGGCTCGGGGGACGTCGAGGAGGACGTGCCTTGCCCCGTGCGGCGAAATCCATCCATCCAGCGATCCAGCCAGCCAGTCAGTCTTGCTCTTGCGTCTTGGAGGTTGGTTGGAGCACTTGCTGGAGCGTGCACGCTGTGCTTTCTTTCTCCCCCCCCCACCCCCCCTTGATTCCAATCCCGCTGTTCTCTTCTCATAAAGATCGGTCCCCCCGAACTGTAGCGACCCAACGGTTGCATGACCAATCGCCCCATACCACGAGAGGAAGGAAACCCAAGCCATTTGACCGTGACAGAGCGACGCTTGACGGTCATGGCTCCCCTGCTGCTCGCCCTCTTGACGTCACACGTCGCGACGTTCCAGTTCGACGAGGCGGCGTCCGCACGCGCCGCCGCCGGAAAGTCTCAGCTCGAGGCGCTTGCCGCTGACACCACGTGCAGCGCCCGCGCCGTCGACCGCCTCCGCGGCGGTTGCCGCGAGATGGACGACCAGTCGCAGTCGAGGCTGGCCGTGGACTTTACCAACTGCCACCTGGCCAAATCGGGGCTCACCACCTACGAGTGCACCTCCGAGATGAGCCTCGCCGACTGCACCAAACCCATGGTCGACTCGGCCGCGGCGCTCGCGTTCAACGCGTACACCCACTTCTACACGCACGCCGAGTCGATGTGCTTCTACCTCCAGTCGCGCGAGTTTCAGCGCTCGACCGAGACGCTCGTCGACCAGCTCCACGCCTCGGCGCAGGGGACGGCGTCACAGCTCGACAGCCTCAAAAAGGACACCGAGGCAGCTGCGGCCCGACCCCTTCTCCCCCATTTGCCGCCGCCCTCGGCCTCGCCGCCGCCGCCGCCCGCCTCACCCTCGCCGCGCCCTCGCGCCCACAGCCATCGCCACGCTCTCCCGCGGGCCCAGAGAGCACGAACCCCTCTCCCCGTGCGTGCAGTCGCTCGGCTCCAAGCAGCGCTCGCTGCTCGGCGGCGTCGACCGGCTCCTCGGCCTGCAGGCCGCCCTGTTTGGCGAGTTCGCCGACATCAAGTCGGTCCTCTTCTTCACGTGCGCCGTGCTGCTCGCGCTCGCCCTCACCTCCACCTCGCGCACCGCCGCCGCGCGGCTGCCCATCTTTGCGATGCTCACCGGCAGCTGCCTGCTCGAGAAGACTCTCGCCGCCGTCTTCCTCCGCCGCGGCGCCTCGGGGCCCGCCTCCGCCGCCGACGTCGAGGCGCTCGGGAGCCTTCCCCGAACCTTTCGTTCAGCCTTCCGTCCACCTTCCCCGAACCTTCGCGCAGGCCCTCGTCGCGTGGCTCTGGCTGCTGCGCAAGGCCACCTGCGCGGGCGGCCTGTGCGCTCTCTGCCACGCCGCGCTCTGCTACACCGACCTCGGCCTGCACGGCTCTCCAAGCAGCACGGTGCAAGTCGACGTGTCCAGGACGCGTCCAGGACGTGTCCCACAGGCCGCAAGACGCTCTCAAAGCTGGACGAGCTGCACGCGTTGACGCGGCGCGACTCGGAGGACCTTAGCGCAAAGATCGACGGCCTCGCCCGCGCCGTCTCGCCCGCGCCCTCCGCCTCCTCCTCCGCCGCCTCGCCGTCGCAGCCGCCCGCCTCGCCGCCGCCGCTGCCCGAGGCGCTCTGCCATCCGCGTCCGCCCCCCTCGCACGCCTTCCCTCTCCCGAGATGGCAGACGCGTCAACCCCCCCCCCGACCCACCCACCCGACCCACCCCCTGGTGTGCGTAGGCTGGCTCCGACGCCGAGGCGGACCTCCTCCAGCGCCTCCTCCACGCCTACCTCCTCCGCCTCAAGCGCTCGCGCGTGGCCGGCGCACTTCGCGCCGTCGGCGGCGGCGGCAACGCGCGCAAATCGCCCGCGCGCAGGTCGCCCGCGCGCCGGTCTCCGCTCGCCGGAGGCCCCGGAGGAGGCCGCCGCAGGAGCATGTCGCCGCTCGCCCGCGGAGCCGCCGCCAGCGCTTCGCCCCGCCTCGCGTGCGAGGCGCAGCTCGACGGGCGCAGCTGGCCGAGCGCCGCCACGCCGCCGCTCTCGCGCGATTGCAGCGAGCAGTCGTTGGCGGAGAGCGCCGCCTCGCCGGCGTACGGGCACGTCACGCCGGCCCGCCGCTCGGTGCGGCTCGCACAGCGGGCGGAGCGGCGGCGCTCGGTGGAGTGAGCGGGGGCGGGCCAACAGGGCGGCTCACGCGCCCAAATCGTGTTCACGGGGCCCCGCGCCCCACCCTGGACGCCTTGCAAGTTAGTGGCATTGGTGCCGATTTTTGGATCGGTACTCTCACAGCCGGACGGTGCCACAACGGTCGCGGTGACGAGACGCTATTGCGTATTGGTATTGCTCGCCATCGGCATCGTGCAGACCAGAGTGCAAGAGGCTACCCCTATATAGGTCATCACAGATTATAATGTTATGAGATCAGCGCGGAAACGAATGTTTCGGTATTACGCTTTACGGCTCTAAATTCTCGATCGTATCGAGAATCGACGCGTACGGACTATGATCTATGGTCTAATGAGGCTAGTTCCAATTCACTCTGACACACACGCTAATCGCTTGAAAACGCGTCCAACGGAGGTTGGAGCTCCGTGTTGGCTTGCTCCCAGCGGAATCCCCCGCGCTTCCTGCGGCCATGGCCGATGATACTAGTATGAGAGGTCATCTGGCTACCGCGAGCGCGACTCAACTCGCCGACGTCGTCCGATGATGGTGCCGCAAAGTCAGCCTTCGGAGGCTATCGTGGGGTCGAGCCGGCGGTAGCCGTGACATGAGGTTCCACCACCCCTCGCAGGCTTTGCCTCTGACCGCCACCGTTCCCAGGCTGCCTAATGGGATGGAAAGGAAGGCTGGGCGAGCGTATAGAAGCGTGCTCGACCTCGTCGTGGCAACCTGCACGGCAGCGCTGGTAGGCGCGATGAGCGTCGTGCCACCTGACCCAAGACGGGTCGCAGGCGTCGTACCGAGCGTGTCGAGACCGTGTCCTGATGTGATCTGCACGGGTGAGTCACGTCGGCGTCAAAGGAGCGACGTGCGACCTGTCAGAGCTTGATCTCCGATCTCAGCGGCGCCTAGGCAGCGGTGTCGAGTCGTCTCCGGCGCGCGACAAAGGTACATCCCCAGGACGCGCAGAGGCAGCTGCGACCCAGCCGAGTGGACGGTACAGGTAACACACCGCGCCACCTGCTGTGTGTTACCGTCCACTCGGCGGGGTCGCAGCTGCCTCTGGAAGGCACCGAGATGTACCACCTTTTTGCGCAAATGGTCAAATCAAGGTTTTGTAACGCGAGCTGTGCCACAGTGAAATGGCACTAGCCTGAACACTATGCCGTATGCGGTACGACGATCGCTTTCGAAACACGAAAGTAAGGCCAAAAAAACAACGTGAAACGTCCCGTTCTCGTGCCAATCGTGGTTCGAGGTATGGATAAATCAGATCCCACTATGTTGCATCATAGGATATACAGTAACATACTGAGATACCATACCTCTTCCATGACCTCTTCCCTGGCCCCATCCCACAGTGCCACAGAAAACATCCGGGCCATGGGATTATCGGTCCAGACGCTCTGGGTTCTGGTTTTTCGAGATGTGAACGATCTCCCCGGAGGGGTCATTCCGCCGGAATGACCCCTCATTAGATTCCGAATGGGTCGAACAGGAGTACTAAGACAGCAGCATGTTCTGTCTGGGTGGGAGGAACCCTAGATAACCTCAGCCCGTGGAGAAGCAACCTCAAGCTGCTCAGCTGAACGGGGAGGATGTATGCCGGGCATCTCAGCGGCTCAGCGCGAGGCGGGGAAGTCCATGCCCGGCGAGAGCGATTGCCGAGCAGGCAATGTATCAATGTCTGCCCACAGCCCGCCGTGTGTAAAGAGGACACAATACCGAAAAAGGTCCGACTTTGCAGCAGGCAAGTCCAAGCCGAGGTACGCCGGGTATGCTTCCTCACAAACAATGCGTCCGCATAAAGTCGACTGCTTCACAATCATTGTAGAAGTGCCATTTATACTCCGGGTTTAGAAGGCAACAATCTCCGTCATCATATTCAACGCAACCCAGGATTGGTGGATGTGAAGGGAGCTGACTTGAGGCACAATCATCGGATTAGCGTGTCAGAGTGAATTGGAACTAGCCGCGGAGGCGGGTGGATGGATGTGTAATAGCGCGACTGAGGCGGGTAGAAGAGCTGCCCGCTCCGCCGCGAGGAAGGCAGCTGGCAGTGGCGGGTACGGCACCGATGCAGACCCCGCCGCACTGCGATCGCGGCGGCCCTCGCCCTCGCGTCCACACCTACACGCTCCCAAAGCACCTCCACGCGGCGCCCGATTATTGGCGCCAGGGCAAAGCGCTGCTGCAGTGGGTCCGCACGAGCGTCCACCACGAGCCCGACGGGGACTGTGCCGACTATTGGCTGCTGCCCGGCTTCCCGCCAAACGTCTTTAGCCGGGCAGACATGAGGCGCCTGTGCGACGACCCCACCATCGCAATTTTACCGCCGCCCTCACCCCTCGCACTCAAACTGTAGGTCGCTAGGCGACGTGCGAATCGCTCGCATCTTCCACTACCTCCGCTCGCGCTGGCCGTGGTGGAACCGGACTGCCGACGCGGGCCAGGCGCGGCACGTGCTGCTGCTGCCGGGCGACCACGGCCCGGGCGACACGGGCTACGACCGTCCAATCTACCCGCACAAGTGGTCGCCGACCGACTCTGACGCCGCGCAGGACCGCCGGAACCACGTCTGGAACGGCTCGCACGCCGCGGAGATCCGCAGGCTGTGGGGCGCCGGCTGGGAGGCGCTCAACCCCGCGAGCCCCGGCCGGCTCGTCCTCTTCCTCCTCTACAGCGGCTGGGCGGACCAGCTCACCAGCCAGCGAGGCCACTGCCTCAACTGCTTCAACCACGGGCTCGACGTGCGGCTGCCTTCGTACGCGGCGCACACCTGTGGGCCGCTGTGCGGACTGCCGCGCCGCAGGACGGCCGAGTGCCCAGAGTGCGGCCAGGGGCGGAAGGGGAGGGTCGCCGCGCTCGGGCGCCTCGTGGCGGCGCCATCGCCGACGGCGGCGCGCAACTGCTCGCTCCACTGGGCCGGGCGGGGAAGCGTGGGCAGCAACCCCGCCCGAAGGACCTTGCTCCAGCTGGTGGACGCCCCGGGCATGTGTATCCATGACACGGGTCGGAGCGGCGTCAATGCGGTCGACATCCCGTCCGCGATGCGCAAACCTGTTTGTTCAACGGTTGTTCAACCATACTTTGAGCCTTAATTATTAATTCGGGTTTGGGTCTCTGAGGTCGATACTAGCGTCTATAACTTGCCACAAGCATGCTTTACAAAAGTCCAGCGGAGCTGGACTCGCAGAACGGCCGTCCGCGCGCGCTGTGAACAGCGCCGTGGTTGAACACTGTTCAACGTCGTTGAACACGTGACGGTCCAGTAACCGCTCACAGCACAGTAAAGAATTTAAACAAAACAACTCTCTCTCACAGCAGAGAGGCTCGACACAGGTGCGAACTGGCGCGTGCTAGCACTATCACAGTAAAGACGATCGAGGCGTCCCGTACCATGCTGTGAAAAAGAATTCTTAAAATACAAGCCTCTCTCACAGCACACTGGCACGACAAGGGCGCGGACTGGCGCGGACTGGCACACACACCGGCTCACCGTAAAGAACTCGCACGCGCACTGCCTGCGGCCGCTGCCTTCGTCAGGATCCGTCAGGTTCAACAAACAGGCTAGGTCCGCAACGCATATATGAGCGCTCGCGGCGAGGCCGCCGCCGCCGCCGTCCTCCTCAGCGAGGAACTGCTCGGCGTGATCGCCGACTTCATCGGGCTCGACTTTTTCAGTGGGTGCGCTCTGGCCTTCGGCGCCGCCGGCAGCGTGGCACGGCACAAGCGTGTCAGCTGGCGACTCTGCCGGCTCGAGTCGAGCTTCGGCTCGCACGGACCCGGCGATGGCCAGTTCTGCGCCCCCTCCTCCATAGTGGCGACCGCGTCGGGCGTTGCTGTGAGCGACGCGGGGAACTGCCGCGTCCAGTCGCTGACACCGAGCGGCAGCCACCTCCTCTCCATGCCGCTGTGTCCCGGGCCTCACGTCGTGGCCGGCTTGGCGGCGGCGGCGGACGGCACCATATTTGCGGGCATAAAGGAGTTCGACTCTGGCTGGGACTACCCCTCGCTCGACCGGTGGCACAGCTACGTGCTTCGCGCCTCGCCGACTGGTGATATTTTGGAGCGGTTCGGTGGCGCGTGCGGAGGCGGCTCGAACCAGTTCTCGCGCGTGTGCGGGGTGAGCCTGGCGGGCAGTCAGCTCCTCGTCGTCGACCAGGGCAACCACCGCATCGTGGTGCTCGGCACGGCGCCAAAGCTGCGGTGGCTTCGAGCCTTTGGTAGCCAGGGCAGCGGCCGTGGAGAGCTTAGCCTTCCAGAGACGGCGATTGGCCACGAGGGCAGCGTCTACGTGGCGGACCAGGGTAACGCTCGTGTGTCCGTGTGGACAGAGGAGGGCCGCTATGTGCGGTGTTTCGGGGCGCCGGGTGGGGGTGCGGGCATGTTCGAGGAGGTTTGCGGTCTCGCGATCCTCGGGACGCCGGCGCGACTTGTTGCCTGCGACGTCTCCCGGCTGCACGTGATGACGCTGCACGGCGTGCCGCTGCACGTGATCCATTTCGGCGCGGCTGCTGACGTGTGCGGCGTCACAGTCGCCCACGGCCAGCTCTTTGTGACCGACCAGCGGCAGTCGATAGTGCACGTGTTGCATTTGTGGCTGTGACACACTCAGAGCGGCGAAGATTTGTTGTTCTCACTCTACTGACCAGAGAGGGGGGGTGGGGTACGTGAATCGGGTGCGGGTACTTCCATCGAGACTGACGAGAGCCGGCGCGCCCTCTCGTCGCCGCGAACACCTGCGCGCTGCGAGGGTCAGATCAAATAAATAAAACGGACACCTCTACTAGGAGATGGGTAAAAAGGAACAGCAAAACACACAGATCGTATATTTCTCTGGTAGGACGGGAACGAGATGAAAGTAGGGAGTAGAAGAAAGCAAAGAGGAGCCCTGCGCACGCACGACTCCGCAGGAGAAACCCCTCCCGCCCGTGCTTGCGCAGCGCAGCCTCCTCCGTATATTTGTGGGATCGTTTTTTTTGCTGCGGGGGGGTCCGCGGGCGGCGTAAGCGCACTACACTGACAACTGTGGGGTAGACGAACGCCATTCGAACTTTGATACGCGTCGATATTGAGCTGAAACCGAGGGTGTGTGTTAATGTATGTAAAACCGGAAAAGCAAAATAGACCCTGGCGCGGCTGCCGGTGCCGCGCCTGTCAGTTCCCAGATGTCTATGGTCGCGCACTTGCAGCGCCACCGCTCGGCCTTCTGCCTCAAGTGTCAGTCGTCCATGCAACCCCCCCCCCCCCCCCTGGCCCGCGCGTGCCAGTTGCTCTTCTACTCGCACTCACGCAACCCGGCACCCCAACGCCCTAGCCAGTGATCATCGACCCTCCATGCCTCCAAACCTGCCCCGATCAAGTGACCTCTCCAGCCCAGGGCGAAGCGAAGAGATGGCGACTCTCCTAGGAGACGGGCTGCCCGTCCAAGCACCCGGGGCAGCCCTCGCACTTTTGCCAGCCGCACTTTTCACCCCACGGCCGAGTGTGGAACCAGCACATCGCAGCCATGCAGCTCTTCCTCAATCCAGGCCACGATGGAGGCGCCGGCGGCAGCTGGAGATCCTTGCACGTGGGGCAGCCCGAGCACCGATCCCACCCGCACTTTGCAGGCCAACCCCGGGTGTGCGACTCGCAAAAGTTGAGACGGCACTTTTCCTCGACCGTGGCGCAGCTGGTGCAGCCCTTGCACTTGCCCCAGGCGCACTTGGTGGTCCACACGTTGGAGTTGCGCGGGCACCAGCCATCGCACGCTGGTGGCGCGGTTGGTGGTGACGGTGCGGCGGGTGGCATAGGGGGCGCAGCCGGACCGCCTGCGGGGAGCGGGGAGGCTTAGCTGTGCAGATGAGGTCGGCAGGTCGTGAGGCTGTGCTCTCTCTCCCTGGTCCCTCTCCCTCTCTCCCTCTCCCTCTCCCTCTCCCTCTCTCTCTTTCTCTCTCTCTCTCTCTCTCTCTCTCTCTCTCTCTCTCTCTCTCTCTCTCTCTCTCTCTCTCTCTCTCTCTCTCTCTCTCTCTCTCTCTCTCTCGTGCGGCCTTCCCGTCAACGTATCATGATCAGTTGGATGCTTGCCAGTCAAGACAAGCATGTAGCATAAGGGATTAAGGGTGATTGATCGGGTGAAGCGCAAGGGCGAAAAGGGTGTCGGGTGTATGCTGCTTCTTGCTCGTCGTGTGTGGTGTGGGCGTGCAAGGGATTTTAGATTTACGGTGGACGACGGTGTGCAAGGGATGCGCCGGAAAAATTCTTTTTCACGGGCCATTGCTGCGAATCAACCCTCTCAGCCCCACCCTCTTATAGCGAGGTCGGTGTGAGCCACCGTGACCTCGGCGGCGTCGCGCTCCACATATATGTCGGTGTTCATGCTTCTCGCGACCTGCGCCACGCTCCAGTTCACGGCGCCATCACGTCCCTTTGCCGCTCCACGCGCCGCCGCCGGCCGCGGCCGCTTGCTCGCGATGGATGCTGACGCTGTGGAGGCACCCCCGGAGGGCTACGTGCCAGTTGCCGCTGACGGCTCATGCCCGCTGCCGCCCGAGGAGACGTACTATTGCAACGAGCAGGGCTGCTGGGTGGGCGCGCCGCCCGTGATCGAGCCGGTGGTGCTCCCGGACGGCCGCACATTTTGCATGGACCTGGGCGTCCAGAGCCACAAGCAGTACGACGCCGAGGAGCAGAAGAAGGCGCGGCGGCCTGCCCCGACGGGTCTGTTTGCGCCACTGGTCGTTGGTGCGAAGCGCGTGATGGGCGAGAAGGAGCTGAATGCGCTGCGAGCCGACGTGATTGTCAAGCACAGCAAGGTGATCGGCGCCTTTGTCGATACCTCCGAGAGCCGGTTTGGCCAGCTCGTGCTCCGGCAGATGTTTGAGGCGGCGGACAAGGACGGCAACGGCACGCTCGACCGGCGGGAGGTCCGCGACGCGCTGCACGCGCTCGGTTTCACCTTCATCGAGGACAAGCAGCTCGACAAGATCTTTTCGCGCGCCGACGAGAACGACGACCTCGTGATCGACTTTGAGGAGTTCATCAAAGAGACTCCAAAGACCCTACGAACCTCGCTCGTCAAGCTGGCAAAGGCGCCGCCGCTCCCCCGCCCGACGCTCAACCCCCGCGCCTCTGGCCTTGAGTCCGCGCCGCCCCGCCCGCGACACAGACCAACGGCCATGACTTGGGGTTTCTCGCTTAGCCGCCTCCGCTTGGACACGGTGCTTGCGAATTCTGCAGTCATTCGTCTGCCACATGCTGTGTCTCTGCGTGTATGGGAGGAGGAGTTCTGTGCGCTGGCGCGTGTAGAGGCGCCCCGCAGGACTGGACATGAGCCGCCGGGAGCGCGGGAGCAGCCGCGCACGGCGGCGTGCGCGGCGCCGCGCGTTACGAGCGGTCCGTGTGTGGCCGTGCCGCATGGGCATGCGCCTGGGCGTGGTGCACAATTTTTACCCGGAGGGCACGCGCTGGCCGCTGCGGCGGGAGGCGGCGCGTCTCTCGTCCGATCGTCGCTTGCCTATCGTGCCATGACCCCCATGTCATGACTCATGTGTGTATACGAGGTGTGTGCCCATGTGCCATGACGCTGTCATTAGTTTACCCTCCGGGTGTACACCGGTTCTAGCTTCGAAAGAAATAGGCTTGTTATTGTTCCAGCTCCTCCCGTCCGGCGACCGGCGTCCGCACGCTCTCACACTCAAGGGTCCCACGCCTCCACCGGCGCCGACACGGCGGCCTCCTCCTGCCCGGCCGCGGCAGCGGCCTCGCCTGCCGGCTGGCACGAGCGCTCTGGCAAGCTCACCGCCGTCTGGCGCCCCATGACGGTGAGGAGGACGGTGGCGAGTCCCTCCGTGCCAACCTCTGTCACGGTGCCCTCGAGGCCCTTGAAAGGCCCCGAGCTGACGAGCACGCGCGCGCCGACCGCCAGCGAGGGAGGCGCCTCCTCGCCCTCGCCGCCCGCTCCCGAGGCGCGCGCCGCCTCCTGCGCGTGATTGGGGCGGGCGCTCGGGCTGGGGGGCGGGGGGCGGGGCGGGGCGGGGCTGCAGGGAGGGGCGGGGCGAGGGGGAGGGGCGGGGCGAGGGGGAGGGGCGGGGCGAGGGAGGGGCTTCCTTTGTGAGGGTGACGATGGACTGGAACTGGTCGTCGGTGAGCGGGCGGGGCCAGACGAAGCCGCGCGAGCCGTCGAGCTGCCCAGAGCGGGACCTGCCGCCGTGGTCCGCCCCGACGAAGTTGACCACGTATTGCATTCCGGTGATGAAGGTGTGCAGCGCGCGCGTCATCCGCATGTGGACGAGGATGTACGAGGGCATCACGGACGCGTCGCGCACCGAGGTCTCCCCGTCCGCGATCGGCACGAAGATCCGGTCGATGTCCTCCTGCAGCCGCTGCACCTCGATCGCCTGCGGAGGAGAGGCGGGGGGTCGGAGGAGGGCGGCAGAGGGAGGCGGAGGCGTGCGAGTCCGCCTGGGAGAGAGAGCGCTCGACGGTGCGCTCGAAGCCGTTGGCCGTCTGCAGCATGTACCACAGGGGCTCCACATCGCGGTGCACCTGCGCGAGGGGCGGACGCCGCACGGAGGACCGACCTCACGAGCCGACTTCCGGCAGCTGCGCAGGCGGCGAGGGCGACGCGCCTCGGTCTCGATGGGCGGGAGGCCGGCGGCCATCTTGCGCCGCGTCTGCTCGAGCCGCTCGACGAGCTCCGCCTTGCGGCCCGTCACCCTCAGCCCGAGCACGCGCAGCTCAGTCTTGAGGTCGGCGACCGTCATGTTTGCAACCGTCGGCAGCTCCGCCCGCGCCTTTTGCATGCTGGCCTCGCGCTGCGCGGCGACCGTCGCCGCGTCCTCCTCCTCGTCCTCCTCCTCGTCCCCCTGGATCGCGGAGAAATCGATGCTGAACGAGGCACGCGCAGGGCTGGCGCGGAGCAGCACCGCCGGCGGCGGCCGCAGGACAGCCTGCCGCGACGCGAGGCCGGCGAACAGCGAGGCGGCCAGTGGAAGCAGGAGCAGCAGCGCAAAGAGAGGGCGTCGGTGGCGCATCGGTCTTGGTAGGCGTTGTCGTCGTCGGGTGATTGGCGCGAGGCGGCGCGGGAGCGACTCGCGGCGCGAGTGCCAATCTGATCTCGACGTGGCGAGGGAAGAATTCTTCGACCCCAAGCCCCTCTCACAGCAGACTGGCACGAACTAGCACCACAAAAGGCACAGCAGACAACGGCCCCTTATGGGCCGTCGAAGAGGCCGTCATACTCCTCCGGCCTCGCCCCCCCTTCCCAACCCTCCCCTGGCTCAGGCTCCTCATCCTCGCGGCGCGCAGTGCGCACCCCGCCCCGCGAAGACGAACCCTTCCGCCGGCGTGCCTCGCGGGACTGCCGCCCGCTGCCGCCGCCCTTCCCCCCCTCCGCTGCCCGCGCCGCCTTCTCCGCCGCCCGCGCGGCCGCCTTCGCCTCCTCCGCCGCTAACAGCGCCTCCCTCCGCGTGACCCCAATGGGCCCCTTGCGCATCCAGGAGAGGTCGCGCGAGCGACCTATCCAGGGGTGATTCGCAGACGGCGCATGCCCCTTCCGCAGCATCGACGCGAGGGAAGAATTCTCCCGCGGACTCCCGCGGCTAGGGCCCTGGGACCCTGTCGTGTGGGTGAACCCTGCCCAGCCCCCCTCCGTGTCGCGATGCGCTCCCCGCTCCCGTTCCCCTGTGTCCCTGATCGTCCTTACAAGATCCTGCTCGTGCAGGTGGGGACCCTGTCCTTCTCCCACCCCTCGTTTGGCGTGCCCGTTTTATTTATTTATTTATTTAGGGCTATCTAGCCCGTAACCCAACACCAATCATCCGAGAATCGGCGAGGGACTGCGAAGGGAGATAGAAAGAGGCAGACGACCAAGGGTTAGGGTGGGCGACGGCTAGCACCACACTCCTCTCCTTAAAATCCCTGTGTGGTGGCGGCGTGCCGTCCTCCCATCCCTCCCTCGGGTTGTCTGTTTTCTTTCTTTCTTTTAGCACACTGGCACGACAAGGCTCACAAGGGCGCGGACTGGCGCGGACTGGCACACACACCGGCTCACCGCAGAGAAGAAAAGCTACGTGCGAGTACACCGAAGCCAGCCAGCGAAACTCTGCGAGAACGTGCAGAGCTATTCGGAAACAGGTGACACTTTTTGGCCTGACTGTACAAGGGTTTCCTCTCGCACCCTACCTGGTTTCCTTTCCGTGTTTCCTGCCGTAGTTTCCCTATAGAGCACCCTCTAGTTTCCCGGGCTCTGAGCCGAGTCTGAGCACTGAGGCTGGTTTGGGCCCCAAATCTGCCAAATCGGCAAAATACCGCGGTATTTCGCGGGTACCTGGAAAACCCCCTGGTAAACCTAGTCCTAGAAAATACCCGGTAGGTTGCCGATTTCCTAAATTTTGCCCCAGATTTTGCCCCACACCAGCTCTCAGACTCAGGGTACAGGGAAACTCGCGAGTTTCCCGAGGGAAACTCGAGAGATACAGAATGGAGCTCCAAACACCCTCTGGTTTCCCTGGAAACTTCTGGAAATGCAAAGTGCTGGGGACCCTCTGGTTTTCCCTCTCTGGGTTGCCGGAAACGTACCCTTGGACAGGCCAAGACACTTTGGGGGTGGATGAGAAAAAAAGGTGACGGCTTTAGGGCCGGGACTTCTTTCTCTGACTTTTGTTTCTGACTCGCTACCAGCTGTCACCAGCTGACCTGTCGCCAGCTGTCGCCAGCTGTCGCCAGCTGTCTGTCGCCAGCTGTCTGTCGCCAGCTGACGCCAGCTGTGACCTGTCGCGCCTGCTGACCTTTTTCGCTGTCGCCAGCTGTCGTTCGCAGTAGCTACTTCCTGTCGTCTGTTGTTTGTTGTGCCCTTGTTTGTTCTCTTGGCACCTTGGAATGCTGGGGGGGGGCGACAGGGAGGATGTGGCCTTGAGTTATGTGTACGCCTACTCAGGGTGTGTGTGGCAGCCCGCTGGCTGTGTGTCTTGTGAGCCTGTTTGTGTCTGTGTGTCGCTCGTGCGTGCCGTCATCATCTGTCCAGCGTCCACCCATACCGCGTTGGTGTCCAGTCCGAGCCTGGCTGCTCTTCACCTTGCTACATACACACATAGTAGCTGCGCGAGAGTAGCTGTCACGACCGTTAGCCGCTGTCACGACGCATTACTACATCGAACGACCCCAGATTGGCACCTGTGCGCTCTCTGGACAGGGGGTGGCCCGCCACACATGTTCGGCTTTCGGATTCCACAGTTACCACACTAGCAAGTAGAGTTACTCTAGCCCTACTACCCAACCATCTCGGCGTCGCGACCTTCGCGATTTCACGACCACCGAAGTCCAAAAGACAGGAGCCCGTCTGACCCGGCGCGATGCCGCACGCCAGCGGGAACGACAGGCGGAAACGGCACATGCACATGCGCCACCGCGTCCCGCCACGCACATGCGCCGCGCGCCATCGCCAGGCCCCGCCGCCGCCCCCCCGCCAGAGCAGCTGCGAGATGGGAGACGATCGGCAGGTGCCATCGGCCCTCGAGCGTCAGGGGGGCAATCCCAACGCCCTCTTCAGATCGTCCATCGTCGAGCCGAATAAGCGTAGCCATGACTCTCGCACAGCCGGACAGCCCGACCGCGCGTCGTCCGCGCGGATGAAGCTGCCATCCTCCTCTCCCTCGACATGGGCGCGCAAGTTGGGCACCCACTTGGCCGTGATCGTGGTGCTCACAATGTCAAAGTCATGGAATGCGCTGCGCGTCAAGTTCGAATGCGCGCCGTGGCCTACTCTCGCATGGCTGTTGCGGCATCGGACTTGGCCGGCGCCATGGAGCCTCTCCGCCACGACCGCATGGTTCGAGGTGCCCGTGACGATGTGGATGTGGCCCTGCGAGTTGCTCACCGCACCGAGCAGCTGGTCGAAACTCTCGTAGGTCTGCACTTCGACGCGAATCTGGAAGCGCTCGCCAGACGAGCTTGCCAGCCCGGTGCGCATGTTGCTCACACGCTCCGCCACGTCTGGAACATGCGCACCACTCAGACAATCTGCCGCTTCGATCACCGACTGGATGTGCCGGTCGAAATCGATGCTTATGCCGTACTTGGCGTCAAGCTGCGCGATGACCACCTTTAGGAGCGAGTGGGCGACGCACGTGCCCTCGTACCCCTGGTTGGAAGGGATGGATGGTGGTGGCCGCCACGGCAGCCGATAGCGATCCTGGACGCCGAGCACGATGCTGTGGAGCTTGTGGAGCAGCAGGCCGTCCTTGCCGTCGCCCGAGGTGCGCACCTCGACGATGATCGCGGTGGCTTCAACTCGCAGCATTGCTGCCGCAGCAGCAGCACCGGGGAGCCCGAGCACCGCACCCGAACGCCAGCAGCGCAGGACGGGGCATGCCTTCTGGAACGCGGCGACGCAGCGCTCCCGAATGCCCATGTGGAGGGGGAGGGGGAGCCCTTCTAACAGCTCGAAGCGGAGGCGTAGAGCGCCATCTGTCCCCGGATCGGGCCAGACGCTTGCAAGGTCGGCGGGCACATCCTCGCAGAGGCGCATCGGGACGAGCCAATAGTGCTCGTCGCTCAAGTGGAGGGCGCGCGCCGGGGTCGCCGCCTGCTTCATGAGCAGCCCGACGTCCGGATGCTCGAGGTGCTCAAGCACGCTCGGGCGATCGGCTGCGCGAATGAGTTGGTGCGGCCACAGGGCGTCGAGCAGCGCGGGCTGGAGCTGGGCTTGCTCGACGAGGAGGCGAGCAAACGATTTGCACATGGCGGCAAACTGTGGTGGCAACTCGGCCCAGACGGTGCCGTCCCTGCGCTCGTCGAGCTTGTCCCTCAGCTGGTGGTCAAGGAGCGGCGACACGAGCGAGGTGATGAAGGCGGGATCGAGGTAGACGATGCCCGCGGCGACAAAGATCTCACCTTGTTTGCTGAGCGTGCGGAGCGCCTCGTCGAGAATCTGCGTGCGCATCTCGCTGAGGCGGAACGAGTCGATCAAGACCGCCTTGTCCTCGCCGAGCTGGTCCCGCTCTAACACGACGACCACCTCGGCCGCCGCCGACTCCCAAAGGGCGCGCAGTTCATGCTCGGGCATGTAGAGGCGTGGTGGCGAGGGCGCGACTCGCCACAAGCGGCGCGCGGGTCGCACAGCACCGGCCGCCTCGAGGATGACCGCTCGAGCGGCCGCACAGCCGTTGGTTCCCTTGCAAACGGCGCGCACGAAGCCCATCGCCGCCGCCCACGTGGCGGGCAGCTGCTGACCGATAATGGGCAGCAGACCAGGCGTGGTAGCCACGGCATGCAGGCGCTGCAGACTGCGCACCAGCGACTCGTTGCCGCCGGACGAGGCGTTGACGCACGGGATCTCTGTATCGGCGTACTGGATGCGGAGCACGGGGGGCCGCGACTCGCCGTCGGCAACGGGTTGCTGCGCGTGGTGCTCCTCGTGCTCGCGGAAGCGGGCCGAGAGCCAGCGACGCGCCCGAGCGCGGGCGCCGGCGGTGCCAAAGCTGTCGTCGTGAGAGATGAAGGGCTGCACGGCGGCGCCCGGCGCGCACGCCTGCAGGCAGTCGAGCCACCGGCACAGGTCCGCCGCGTCGGCATCGCTCCGCGTCTTGCGCGCGTGGACGACGAGCACATAGAGCGCATCCAACGTAAGGTAGGCTTGCTGCACGCCGCTGTACTCGACCTGGCCGCCGAGGTCCCAGCATGAGAGGTGGATGTCGGCGGAGGCGTCGTCGGCGGCGACCGCAGCCCCGGTGGCGTCGAGCGTCAGGGGCGTCGTGGCGAGCTCGACGTTGACGGTGCGCGCCTCGGGCGCCGCCGGGCTCGGCTGGCAGCCGTTGCGCCAGCCGCGCAAAAGGGACGTCTTGCCCGCGAGGCCGTCACCGACCATGACGAGCTTGCAGGTGCGCGAGACGGTTCTGCCGAGCCGCAGCGCCTCAAAGTAGCGGCGGATCGCGTCGATGCCCTGGTCGGCGATGGCCAGGGGCGGTCGCTGCAGCGGATTCTCCCACACGCGCAGGTCCCCGAGCATTTGCAGGCTGCCAATCGCCTCGGGCAGCGCGCGGAGCTGGTTGTTGTACACCATAAGCGTATGCAGCGCAATCAGCTTTCCAATCGCCTCGGGCAGCGCGCGGAGCTGGTTGTGGTCCACGTAGAGAAACTGCAGCGCGACCAGCTGGCCGAGCGCCTCGGGCAGCGCGCCGAGCTGGTTGACGGACACGTTGAGCTCCTGAAGTGCGACCAGCTCGCCGATCTCGTCAGGCAGCGCGCGGAGCTTGTTGTCGCACACGTTGAGCTTCTGCAGCGCGACTAGCTGGGCGATCGCCTCGGGCAGCGCGCGGAGCTGGTTGTTGGACACGTCGAGCTCCTGCAGCTTGACCAGCTGGGTAATCTCCTTAGGCAGCGCGCAGAGCTGGTTGTAGGACACGTCGAGATACTGCAGCGCGACCAGCTGGTCGAGCGCCTCGGGCAGCGCGCCGAGCTGGTTGTGTTCGACGTCGAGCCTCTGCAGCTTGACCAGCTTACCGATCGCCTCGGGCAGCGCGCGGAGCTGGTTGCGGGACACGTCGAGCTTCTGCAGCGTGACCAGCTTGCCGATCGCCTCGGGCAGCGCGCGGAGCTGGTTGTCGGACACGTCGAGCTCCTGCAGCTTGACCAGCTGGGTAATCTCCTTAGGCAGCGCGCCGAGCTGGTTGTGGTACACGTTGAGCGTCTGCAGCTTGACCAGCTGGGTAATCTCCTTAGGCAGCGCGCAGAGCTGGTTGTAGGACACGTCGAGATGCTGCAGCGCGACCAGCTGGCCGATGGCCTCGGGCAGCGCGCCGAGCTTGTTGCAGGACACGTCGAGCTCCTGAAGTGCGACCAGCTCGCCGATCTCGTCAGGCAGCGCGCGGAGCTTGTTGTCGCACACGCTGAGCTTCTGCAGCGCGACTAGCTGGGCGATCGCCTCGGGCAGCGCGCGGAGCTCGTTGTCGGACACGTCGAGGCTCGTGCTGTGAAGATCCACATCTTCGCCTCCGATGAGAACGCCCGTCACGGGGCCGACGAGGAGTTCGTGGAGTTCAACGGCGCGCGAGCGAACTTGCCGTGAGGTGGAGCTAGCGGCCGCGCGCTTCGACATGCGATCGGAGTAGGACGCCGCGGCTTCTCATCACCACGACCTTGATCATGACACGCTTGATTTTTTCTTGTTTTTGAACACTCTCGTGTGTCTTGTGAGCTTGTTTGGGTCTGTGTGTCGCTTGAGCGTGGGTGGGTCGACAGCGATCGGATTTGGAGACGCCGTGACGGGCGATAACCGTTCCCACCTGACCCCGTCAATCGCTAGCCCTCTTTTCCATTTTTCATCCTGCCCTTCTACTCGAGTACAGCATCCACACGTTGGGTTCCGCATCACTAGTTTCACTCGGATTCACTCCTATGCACCTTCGGTGAGGGTACATTGGCGCGTAAAAGCAGAGTCACGGAATCGCGCGCGCCTCCACCAGGTGACATCCCCTGGGATCCTGCCACTGAAGGCGGAGGGTTGGGACTCAAACGGCTTGGGTTGCTAGCTTGCTACAGGTACGGAGGGGACCTCAACGTCCTGTAGCCGCCCGCGGCGCCGTAAGGGATCGCACCTCGGACCAGATAGAGAGAACCACACCCCAAAGCCAAAGAGTAGGCAGGATAGGGTGGGCGAGGAGAAGAGAGAACTGGTGCAGCCGAAGGGCTGGCGCAGTAGGACCTGGCGCGGCCAAGGACGAGGAGCCGCGTCAGGGCCAGGTGAGCAGGAGAGAGCAGCGGAAGCCGCGCTCATCAGAGCAGCGAGCGGGCGAGAGCGCGCGTCCGCGGAAGTTCGAACTTCCGTAACAGATGAAGTAAAAGATGTCCAGATCAACGGAGAGTCCGTGAAGGACGCAGAGGCAGAAGAAGAGGTAGGAGAGGAGAAGATCTCCGTGAGTCTCCTGCGGGAAACTAGTGGCCTATCACGAGTTAGGGCCCCTACCCCAATCGTTATCGGCGAACTAGTTTCACTCGGATTCACTCCTATGCACCTTCGGTGAGGGTACATTGGCGCGTAAAAGGAGAGTCACGGAATCGCGCGCGCCTCCACCAGGAAGGGCTACGCAGTATCCCTGACATCCCAACGCGCAGTGGAGGAGGAGCGAGGGCAGGTGGCCCGGAAAGCCCAATGAACCCCACAGAAGGGGCAACTGGCCGTGGTATGGAGCCACAGAGGCGACAGCCAAATCACGAGAGGGGTGAGGCCGGTCGCCGAGCGTCCAGAGTCCGCCGGGAATCAAGCCACCACCGTCAAGGCGGCGAGGGAGAAAGCACCACCCCACACCGCCGTCGAGGCGGCGAGGGAGAAGCCTAGAGAGAGGCGGAGGCGGCAGCCGAGAGCCGACCGTCACTCCGCGCCGCCGTCGAGGCGGCGAGGGAGAAGCCTAGAGAGAGGAGGAGGCGGCCGAGAGCCGACCGTCACCTCACGCCGCCTTCAAAGCGGAGAGAGAGAAGCACGACCCCTGGAATTGCGACTCGCCGCTTCCTCCCCCGCTGTGTGATTTGTGTGTGTGTGTGTGTGTGTGTGTGTGTGTGTGGCTCTGTGCCTTGATCTGCTAACAACAAACCTAGAACTACATGTACGTCGTTCACCGTCTTCAAAGAAAGAAAGAAAGAAAACAGACAACCCAAGGGCACCGTCTTCACGGGAAGTTTGCATGCTAATAGTTTTCTTCTGCCGGTGATAGTACTAGCACGCGCCAGTTCGCACCTGTGTCGAGCCTGTCTGCTGTGAGAGAGAGTTGTTTTGTTTAAATTCTTCTTCTCGGCGGTATATGAGGGCCCGATGCTTAGCTTAGTCTTACTCTTGTCCCTCTCCTCCACCGCGCTCGGCCTCCTCTCGCCGACGCGCTCCGCCGCGCGTCGCGCCCTTGGCGGCGCGACTCGCAGCTGCGTGCGCTGCGCCGGTCCGGCGACGGCCGCGGCGGTGGCGGCGGCGGCGGCGGGCGCTGCCGGAGGGCGCCGGTCCGCTCTCGTGGTCGGCGGGGGCGCCTCGGGCCTGAGCTGCGCCCTCGAGCTGGCCGGCCGCGGCTGGTCCGTCTCGGTCCTCTCGCGCGACACCTCCGAGGGCGCCACCCGCGCCGCTGGCGGCATGCTGGCGCCGCAGGCGGAGCGGCTGGAGGAGGGGCCGCTGCTCGACCTGTGCGTGCGCGCGCGCTCGCACTTTCCGCCCTGGCTGCAGCGCGTCGAGCGGCTCTCCGGCGTCGACGCCAACCTCTGCTCGCGCGGCGGCTTCCTCGCGCCCGCCTTCGAGGGCGACGCCGTGCAGCGGTGGCGCCCTCCGGCGGCCGGCGGGCCGGCGACGTGGCTGGGGCCCGAGGCGCTGCGTGCGCTGGAGCCGGCGGTGTCGGAGGCGGCCGTCGGCGGCTGGCTTTTCGAGCGGGAGGCGTCGGTCGACCCTCGCGCGCTGCACGACGCGCTGCTCACCTCGTGCGGAGCGCTGGGCGTGCGCGTGCTGGAGGGCGTCTCGGCCTGCTCACTCAATTTGGACGTGGAGGCGGCGGCGGGAGGCGCGGCGGGCGGGAGCGGCGGGGCGGCGGCGGCGGTCATCACGAGCGACGGCGCCGAGCTGCGCGCGGACGCCGTCGTGCTCGCGTGCGGCGCGTGGGCGCGCGAGCTGCTGCCGCTCGCCTCGTTCCCGATCAAGGGGCAGATGCTGCGGCTGCGGCCGCCGCCCGGGCACGCGCAGCGCGAGGCGGGCGGGCTGCAGCGCACGCTCTTCGGCGACGGGGTCTACCTTATCCCGCGGCGCGACGGCGCCGTGGTGGTTGGCGCGACCGAGGAGCCCGGCGCCGGCTACGACCGCAGGGCCACCGCCGGCGGCGTGGCGCAGCTGCTCGACAAGGCGGTCGCCGCGGCGCCCGTGCTGGCAGACTACACGCTTGACGAGGTGTGGGCCGGGCTGCGCCCCACCACGCCGGACCGCATGCCCCTCCTCGGCCGCGCCTCCTCCGCCTTGAACCTGCACGTCGCCGCCGGCTACCACCGCAACGGCATCCTCCTCTCGCCGCTCTGCGCAAAGCTGGTCGCCGACGGCATCGAGGGCGCCCTCACCGAGCAAGACGCCGCCCTCCTCGCCCACTTCGAAGTGGAGCGCTTCAGCCGCGTCCAGCCGAGCCCGGCCGCCCCTCCCGCCCCCGCCACCTCCTCCGCCTCCGCCCCCGCCGGCCGCCACCCCAACCTGCTGCAGCGCGTCGCCGCCGTGCCGCGCCGCCTCTTCGGGCGGGCACCGCCGCCGCCAGCCGCCGGCGCGGCGGCGCCTGACCTGACCGCGCCCGTCGGGTCGCCGGGCGGCAGCGCGGGCGGGGCGGTCCCCGGCGGGGAGGCGACTGACGAGTGGTGGAACCTCACCCCGCGCTCGCCCGAGGAGGCGGCGGCGACGGCAGCCGTGGTAGCGGACAGTGCGCAGCGCGAGGAGAGCATGAGCCGCGCTCTCGCCGCCAATCGGGCGTTCCGTGACCTCGTGCACGAGATCGGGGAGCCGGTGGTGGCGCAGTCAGTCGTCCCCACGCCAAGCACGGCGCCGCCGCCGCCGCCGCCGCCGCTGCAGGTGCCGCCGCCGCCACCGCCGCCGCCACCGCCGCCGCCACCGCCGCCGCCACCGCCGCCGCTGCAGGGTCCTCCACCGCAGGCGGCGCGAGCCGCGCCGGCGCCGTCGGCCGCGGCCGGAGCCGCAAAGGAGGAGCACGCCGGCTTCGCCTTTTGGACGGGGGAGAGCTCCGACGTCGGCCCGACCATCGACATGGCGATGGCGGCGAACCGCGACTTTCGCGCGCTGATGCAGGAGGGTTCGGTCCAAGACCCGCTCGCAAGGTACGAGGGCGGCGAGCAGCAGCCTGCTTCTGCCGAGCCAGCACAGGCGGACGCCGACGAGATCCGCCTGTGGAAGATCGAGGAGGACGGCACGAAGACGCCGCTTCGCTTCGGGTGCCCGCCCCCCGAGCTTCTGCAGGGCTACGGCGACACGGTCCTACCACCGCCCGTGCCAGAGGCGGCGGCAGCGGCAGAGGCGCCGGCGGCGAGCGTGCCTGCGCAATCCGACGCCGACGAGATCCGCCTGTGGAAGATCGAGGAGGACGGGTCAAAGACTCCGCTTCGCTTCGGGTGCCCGCCCCCCGAGCTTCTGCAGGGCTACGGCGACACGGTCCTACCACCGCCCGTGCCAGAGGCATCGGCAGAGGGGGCGGCGGCGGCGGCGGCGAGCGCGCCTGCTCTCGAGGCAAGAGCGAGCAAGCTTCAGCGCATGGTGGACGAGCTCGGCACTCCCGCGAACGGAGTCGTCGCCCCGTCCGACGGCGTGAGCGCCCCAGCGAACGGCGTCGCTGCACCGGCCAACGGCGTCAGTGCGCCGGCCAATGGCGTGGTTGCAAACGGCGCCGCTGCCCCCGCGAATGGCGTCGGCGCCCGAGCGAACGGCGTGTCGCAGGTCGCTTTCGCGCCGCCGGCGTCGGAAGAGCCTGAGTGGATGAGCGAGCAGCGCGCGGGCATCGCGCGCGCGGCCGCCGCGCGGCCAACCACTGCCGAGGCGGACGCGGCGGCGGCCGAGTCGCTGCACGTCAATGCGGACGGGTACACCCAGGCGGACGCCGCTGTGGACCGCGACGACGCGCTGCGTGCCGCGTTTGCCTCCAACCAGGAGCTCAAGCTGGCGCTCAGCGAGGGCGCGGAGGGCGCGCTCTCCCAGGCGGTGGAGGCGGAGCTTGCCGACTTTCGCCGCCAAGCAGGCATGGACTGATCAAAAAAACTCTTGCCGTCCCCAAGAGCGTTTGCCGGAGCCCGACCTCTCCCAGTGCGGTGGGGGGCTGAGATTTCGAGACGGCCACGACCTCAGGTTTAACAGACCGAGGGAAAACGCTCGCGAGGACTATAGCGCTCGCCCCGGGCGACTCACCCGAGCAGGGCCTAGGCGGGAGCGCCACACTCACACGCGCGAGCCGAGGGTGCGGGGGCGGGGGTGATGGTCGGCGCAGGTCAACTCTGCCAGGTCGGTCGCGTCCATTGTCCATATGATGAAGTGGCAAGTGCTCTGAAACGTGAAACCGCATGACCATGAGACACAATAGTCAATACACAATATTTGCAAAAATTTAGAAATACAACTGTTAATCTGTATCGTTGCAGCTTACACACGTTGCGGCTTGCCCTTGCGCTTGCGGTGTTGCGCGCTTGTATCATCCGATTTCGGTGTTATCGTAGCGGCAAACGGTTAGGGCGTTAGGGCTGCCCCGGGCGCGCGACGCCGCCCCTGCGGCTGCGCCTCTCCGCGAGAGCGCGGCTAACGCGCCGTAAGCGTAACGGAAGACGGGCCCGAGCGAGACACAAAAGTTCAAATGAGTTGATTACTAATTATTATACTTTTGAGTGTATAGAGGAATAGACCGACGAGACGCGCGTACAAAAACGTAAACGAAAAATCGATGACATCTCTCATTCTCTCCACCGGTGTCTCGTGCACTCCTGCGTTACGGCGCCGCGGCAGGAGAGTTCATCTCTTTTTGCATCTCCTCCGCCACCCCCTCAAAGTAGGCGTGCTCGAGCGCCTCCTTTGCGGAGACGCGGCGGCTCGGCTCGTACCGCAGCATGCGCGAGAGCAGGTCCAGGCCTAGCGCGTCGAGGTTCGGCGCGACGGTGCTGAGCGGCACGGCCTCGAACTTTGGCCAGTCCGACTTGTACTCTGGCAGGTCGATCATCGACGGCCACGTCTCCTCAGTCGGTGTGCCGAGCACCTTGAAGATGCGCATCACCTGGTCGTGCTCCGAGCAGCCAGGGAACATGGGCCGCCCGGAGGCCATCTCGCCAAAGATGCAGCCGACCGACCAGATGTCCACCGGCGTCGAGTACTTCCGGGAGCCCATGAGCACGTCCGGCGCGCGGTACCACAGCGTCACCACCTCGTGCGTGTAGGAGCGCACGGGGATGGCAAACGCCCTGCGAGGGGCGGTAGAGGAGGCGGCGGGGGGGGGGGGGGGGGGGGGGGTCCTCAACCCCTTTTTCTGGGGGGGGGGCCCCGCGCGGTTGGCTGGATCGCGCGCGGGGGCGCGCATGTGCGCGTCGCCGGGCGAGGCCATGGCCGTGGCGGCGGCGCCTGGCCAGCCCAAAGTCTGCGAGCTTGAGCTCGCCCTGCTTGTTGATGAGCAGGTTTTGCGGCTTGAGGTCGCGGTGAAGGACGCGCCGGTCGTGGCAGAAGGCCACGCCACGCAGCAGCTGCAGCAGCGCACGCCTGTGCCGCGCGCAGCCGGGGGGGCGGCGCCGTCGAGGCCCGGCTCGCAGCTCCCGCCGCGGCGGCTGCTCCGAAAGGGGGGGATGGGGTGGAGAGTGCGGCGCACTTGATCATGCGCGAGTCCGCGCCGTCGGGGCACGAGTCGAGGTACTTTTTGAGATCCTGGTCGAGGTACTCGAACACGAGGGTGAGCTTCTTCTCGGTGTGGATCACGTCGTGCAGCCGCACAATGTTTGGGTGCTGCAGCTCCTTCAGGATGGAGATCTCTCGGATCGCCGTCGAGGGGATCCCCTCGTCCTCAGCCTCGAGCCGGATCTTCTTGAGAGCGGCCAACTCGCCGGACTGCCGGTCCCGCGCCTTGTACACGACGCCGTACGTCCCCTCCCCAATCTTCTCAATCTTTTGGTACTTCTCCTGCGGGCGGCCCGGGGGCGCGAACGGTGTCAGCTCCTTGACCGCGCGCGGCGGCGCGAACGGTGTCAGCTCCTCTGACCGATGCGCGCGCGCTGCACGCAAACGCGGCGGGAGACCGCGCGGGGATGCAAGGGGCTGTCGCATCGCCGCCCTCAACACGGCCCCTCTGTGCGCAATCTCTGCGGCGCGCCATGGCGGGCGCGAGCACGCCCAGAGGCTCCGATGACGGCGGTCCGGTCACGCCTAGCGGAGCGACCAGACTAAATGTGGGTGGTCAGGTGTTGGCATGGTGGGGACACGAGGCACGACAAGCCTTGCAGCGACAAGCAGGCGCGCCAGGGTCGTTCAGAGACGAAAAGAAGAAATTGTGGCGTAAGGCGGGGCCTCGGCAAAAGAAGGCTTCGCAGTGCGAGCGGGCGCCAGTCGTTATAGAAAGAAAGAAACGCCGCCACAGCGCCACCGATGCACGGCCCGCATGAGCGCGCCGCGCGCCAATCGCGGTGCCCACACCATCGGGACCGGTCCGGAGCAGCCAGCGATTGGAGCCGAATCGCCAGATTCGACCGCTGTCCGGCCCTGGAGCGCCGCGGAGACCGGAGTCGAGCGTGACGACGGGATACGCGCGCTTTTTTAGCTCCCGTTTGTTGTTCGTGTTATGGCCCTGCGAACGCGCACCCCCCCTAGGGGTCAGGGCTCTCTTGCCCGTAGGCGTAGCCCGATCCCAATCGTCTGGCCAACTGGGTGCGCTTTCTTCCCCGGTCCTGGGCGTGCGGCTGATGACTGCACTCCAAGTGCTCCACAAGTGCACCGCGGTCGCGATTCAGGAGATGCACGCGACAGACAAGGCGCGGCCGACGGCTTCTTCAGAAGCCGTCGCCCCCACCACAGGAGCAGACCAGTCACACAACTCCAAAGAAAGAAAATCGCCATGCCGCGGGCGCGATTCGTCGACCAAGGAGAGCCGGCCCGACCCCCCTGGGAGGGGAAGCGACATGATCCAATGCCGCCGTCCTCGCCCGGGGAGTCGGGCACGGGATCGCCGTCGGCAGGGTCAACGGAATCAGGCAGAGAGGACGAGACGGCGGCGGGGCCAGCCAAAAAAGGCTAGGAGGGGAGGTCGGGCCCCGCGCCCGTCGGACAACCATCGGAGAGCGAACAGGAGGGTGAGCCCGGGGGAGAGGGTGGACCCCCCCCCCGGAGTGGAAGACGAGGACCCCGCGAGAAGGGGGCCCTGAGCGGTGATGTCGTCTGAGAATGTGTGTCGTGTTCGTGTCTGGTGTCCATATTATAGCTCCGAGTAGAGGGGGCGGTCTGCTGCTAGGGGAAACCTGGAGCGCGGAGCTAACCCTCGGAGACCCGTGTTTACTTTTTAGATACGGCCCTTTCCCTGCGAACGCGCACGCGCGCACCCCCCCAGGGCTAGAGGGCTCTCTAGCCCGTAACCCGATATCGATCATCCGGCCCGCTGGGTGCGCTTCTTAGCTCCCCGGCCCTGGATGTGAGGGTTAATGACTGCGAGGTTTTGAATAAACGCTGTCCATAAAAAGAAAAAAGCAAGTCCTAGAAAAACAGCTCGTCCCTTTTGTTTCTTTCTCGCGCTCGCTCTGCCCTGACCTTGCACTCCATGCCCCGTCGGCTACAGCAAGGAGACGCCCGGAGAGAGCCGTGCCCTCCCCATCGGCGCCACCGCCTCCCATACCTCCAACGCCGGGTCATAACGCTCCACCAGGCAGCCGATGCCTCCGCCCTCCTCGTTCTCAAAGTTGTACCCGCCCACCGCATACAGCTTGCCGTCCAGCACCGCCACGGCGTGACGACACCGAGCCGTCGCCATCGGCGCCACCGCCTCCCACGCATCCAGCGCAGGGTCGTACCGCTCGACCGAGCTGAGCCCGCCGTCGTTGTTGAGGCCTCCCACGGCGTACAGCTTGCCGTCGAGCACTGCAATTGCGAGCTCGTCCCGCAACTCCGCCACCGGCGCCACCGCCTCCCATGCGTTCGCCGCCGGGTCGTACCGCTCGACCGAGCCGAGGCGGTCGCCAGCGAATCCGCCCACAGCGTACAGCTTGCCGTCGAGCACCGCCACGGCGTGAGTCTGCCGAGCCGTCGCCATCGGCGCCACCGCCTCCCACGCGTTCGTGGCGGGATCGTAGCGCTCCACCGAGCTGAGGAGGCCGACGCCGTGGATGAGCCCGCCAACAGCATAGACCTTGCCGTCGAGCATCGCCACGCCGTGATTCTCGCGTGGCGTCGCCATCGGCGCCACAGCCTCCCACACATTCGTAGCAAAGTCGTACCGCTCCACCAAGTTGCGCCGTCCTCCTCACTCTGGCCGCCCACCGAGTACAGCTTGCCATCGAGCACCGCCATGCCGACATTCTCGCGTGCCGTCAGCATCGGCGCCACAGCCTCCTCCTCCCACTCGTTCGTTGACGGGTCGTACCGCTCCATCGAGACGAGGTTATTGTCGTCCTCATCGCGGCCGCCGATCACGGTCAGGCGCTGCCTCTCGCGCTTCTTCAGCGTCTCCTTCCAGCCGCGGCGCCACGCGCGGCACGTCCCCTTGACGGCGTGCTCCGTGGTCGGCAGCTGGGCGAGGATGTGCGGGGCGAGGTCCGGCGAGAGGAGGACCTCGGAGAGCACCCACTCGGGCTGCTCCACGAGCCGAGCGGCGTGCTCCTCCGCCACGCGCATTGCGGCGGCGCTCCAGAGGGGCGCCTGCTCGTCGATGAAGGCGACGAGCTGCTCTGGCGAGAGGCCAGACAGGCGGGCGCCGATGCGGTGGGAGGCCATGGACGGACGGAGGCTCGCATGCCGGGGATTTCTTTTCTATTCTAAATGAGCTTCAATAAAAAGAAAAACAGGCTGGCTTGCACATAGATTGCACAATCCGTCGGCTACAGCAAGGCGACGCCTGAAGAGACCCGTGCCCTCCCCATCGGCGCCACCGCCTCCCATACCTCCAACGCCGGGTCGTAACGCTCCACCAAGCAGCCGATACCTCCGCCCTCGAACTCCTCCTCATCGTTCTCCCCGCCCACGGCGTACAGCTTGCCGTCCAGCACCGCCACGGCGTGATGACACCGATCCGTCGCCATCGGCGCCACCGCCTCCCACACATCCAACGCCGGATCGTACCGCTCGACCGAGCTGAGCCAGCCGTCGTCGTGGCTGAAGCCTCCCACGGCGTACAGCTTGCCGTCGAGCACCGCAACTGCGAGCTCGTCCCGCAGCTCCGCCAGCGGCGCCACCGCCTCCCATGCGTTCGCCGCCGGTTCGTACCGCTCGACTGAGCCGAGGCGGACACCATCGAATCCGCCCACAGCGTACAGCTTGCCGTCGAGCACCGCCACGGCGTGAGTCTGCCGAGCCGTCGCCATCAGCGCCACCGCCTCCCACGCGTTCGTGGCGGGATCGTAGCGCTCCACCGAGCTGAGGAGGCCTTCGTCGTCGCTGTACCCGCCAACAGCATAGACCTTGCCGTCGAGCATCGCCACGCCGTGATTCTCGCGTGGCGTCGCCATCGGCGCCACAGCCTCCCACACATTCGTAGCAAAGTCGTACCGCTCCACCAGGCTGGAAGTTGCGCCGTCCTCCTCACTCCGGCCGCCCGCCGCGTAGAGCTTGCCATCGAGCACCGCCATGCCGACATGCGTTCGTGCCGTCAGCATCGGCGCCACAGCCTCCTCCTCCCACGCATTCGTTGACGGGTCGTACCGCTCCAGCGAGTCGATTAACTCGTAGTCGCTGTCTTCGCCGCCAAATACGACCAGGCGCGGCCTCTCGCGCTTCTTCAGCGTCTCCTTCCAGCCGCGGCGCCACGCGCGGCACGTCCCCTTGACGGCGTGCGCCTTGGTCGGCAGCTGGGCGAGGATGTGCGGGGCGAGGTCCGGCGAGAGGAGGACCTCGGAGAGCACCCACTCGGGCTGCTCCACGAGCCGAGCGACGTGCTCCTCCGCCACGCGCATTGCGGCGGCGCTCCAGAGGGGCGCCTGCTCGTCGATGAAGGCGACGAGCTGCTCTGGCGAGAGGCCAGACAGGCGGGCGCCGATGCGGTGGGAGGCCATCGCTCTGGAAAAAGAAAGAAAGCAAAAACCGACAACCCAAGGACGGCACGCCGCCACCACACAGGGATTGTAAGGAGAGGAGTGTGGTGCTAGCCGTCGCCCACCCTAACACTTGGTCGTCTGCCTCTTTCTATCTCCCTTCGCTGTCCCTCGCCGATTCTCGCTGCAACAACCTTCATGCCACCTCGCGGTCGTCCCACTCTCGTCGTTCTCCCTCCTGTCGCTTCCTCCTCTGTCGCGTCGCTCTCATCTGCCTCGTCCTGCGACGCCGCCGCCGCCTGCCGATCCCTTGCTCTCGCGGCTTCTCCCGCCTTTCGGCGCAACTCTGCCCTCCTCGCGGCATATTTTGGCCCCTCGAGTTTATCGAGCTCTCCTCGCGCAAGGACGACTCTTCTGACGCCCACTGCGATCATTTGCCGCCAAGTCATATCGTTGCTCAGAAAGAAAGAAAGAAAACAGACAACCCAAGGGAGGGATGGGAAGACGGTACGCCGCCACCACACAGGGATTTTAGGGGAGAAGTGTGGTGTTAGCCGTCGCCCACCCTCGGGCGTCTACCACTTCCTATCTCTCTCCGCAGTTTATCACCAATTCTTGCAGCGACCTTCATGCCACCTCGCATTCTTCCCACTCTCGTCGTTCTCTCTCCTGCTGTCTCTTCCCCTGACTCATCGCTCTCCTCGGCCTCGTTCTGAGACGCCGCTGTCGTCTGCCGATCTCTTGCTCTCGCTGCTTCTCTCGCCTTTCTGCGTAACTCCGCTCTCCTCTCCGCGTATTTTGGTCCCTCGAGTTTATCGAGCATTCCTCGCGCAAGGACCACATTTCAAAATCATTTCTGACTCCCACTGCGAGCATATCCCGCCATATCGGTGTGGAGCGTCAGCGGCGCCGGAGGGGCGAGATTCTTTTTCGCTCGGTTTGTGTCCGAGGTGGCCGAGCGCATGTCTTGAAGGTCCGATACTGGAAGCCCATATAGGCACCTTACACTCCCCCGCAGTATCGCACCTCTTGAGCGACACTACGTTTCCGCAGCTGGGGATTCTCCGGGTACCCCTCTTTGTACCCGTGCTGGCCGGATTCCTCCTCCGAACAACTCAAGTTCGATCGGCCCCAGTCTCGAACTGGCAGCCACTATCTCACCGGAGGTACCATGTCCGAGGAGGGCTTGGCCTGTATATACTTTTCCGGCAAACAAAAAGGAAAAAGGGCCCGAGCACTTTGCGTTTCCGGAAATTTCCAGGGAAAACAGAGGGTGTTTGGTGCTCCATTCTGGAAACTCGCGAGTTTCCCTGAGTGAGTCTGAGAGCTGGTCTGGGGCAAAATCTGAGGCAAAATCGAGGAAACCGGCAACATCCCGGGCTTTTTCCAGGTATACCCGGGTTTTTCCGCAGGTATTACCCGCAAAATACCCGGTATTTTGCCGATTTGGCTGATTTTGGGCCCAAACCAGCCTCAGACTCGGCTCAGAGCCCGGAAAATTTGATGGTTTCCCCGGGAAAATAGAGGGGAAAAGAGAGGGTGCTGTAGAGAAAAAAGGAAGGGAAAAGAGACGGGGTGCGAGAGGAAAAGTATATACAGCCTAAGCAGGAGGCCACCGCCCACCGGCCAAAAGCGCATGTCTTGAAGGTCCGATACTGGAAGCCCATATAGGCACCTTACAACAGTACATGATCCGTATCAGAGTGTGGAGGGAGGGGGTCGCCCGCGGAACTACTGTGCTGCATGAATGCTTGCCCAGGTGTGAACAACACCTCGTGACCACGGCGCCGCAGGCGCCTGTTGATGGGTCCAGGTGATAGCCCTGGATGGGCAATGCATACGCCTAGTTGGACCTCAGATCGCCCGACCGCGTCCCGGTGCTCTGTGGTCGGATTTGTGACGCCGCCGCACCGCGCCGCGGCCGGGGCCCGGGGGCCCTCCTGAGGCCAAGGATGGCCGTGGCGTACCGGGACGAGCTCTGGGAGGTGGAGTGTCAGTGAGGAGGGCCTGAAGAGCATCATCAAGACAGCCTGGGTGCTTCCCATCGCCGCCCAAACCGCCTCGACTGGCACCCTCGCCGACTTCCTCCGCACGCTCGGCGCGACGGTCACCGAGGTGGATCTCGACACGGAGGACGGAGACAGCGACGAGGAGGACGAGCGAGACGGCAACGCGCTCGACGACGAGGCTGAGGAGGAGGAGGAGGAGGAGTTGGATTCGGCGTGGCGCGTCTACTTCCTGCGAGACTCGAGCGGTCGGAGGACTTACGTCACGCGTGCGAGCCCCGACCCCGCCCGACGACTGCGCCAGCACAACGGCGAGCTCTCGGGAGGTGGCGCGCCCGCCGCGGGACGGCCGTGGCGCATTCTTCTCGTTGTGCGCGGCTTCTCCTCGAAGAGTGATGCGCTCGCTTTCGAGTGGGCGTGGCAGAAGCCGCACACCAGCCGGCACATTGCGCGACAGTGGGGTGTGAAGGGATTCGGGAAGTGCGGCACGCGGTCAAAAGTGTCGGTGCGATTGGCGGCGCTTGCGCTGCTGCTCGTGCACGGCCATTGGGCCGCGTGCGCGCTTCATGTCCGTGTGTGTGCTCCCGAGGAGTGTGGACAGGCGTTGCAGGACGTGCGCCGCGCCGCGCCGCGGGGCTCACGTGCGGACCGCCGTGAAGTGAGTTCTTTGACTAATGTCACACACATGTTGGGAGACTGATAGGTCAAAAGCATAGATCGTCAATCGACGCGTCGCGCCTTTGCCGATCCGCATAGTGAGGTTCTTGGGTGTGGCGCGCCCAGCGCCAGTCTTCACAACGAACCTGGTTCACGGGCGTCCAGCGCGACGAAGGCGGCACGGGCACCCTCCACTAGCGCCTTCCCCTGAAAAAGAAAAGAGCTTGCGCGCCCGGCCGCTGGCCACCAAGATACATACATGATGCTCCTCGGGCTGTGCGCGAGCATGCACACAGCATCGGGTACTTCGAGCAGCCGGCATGACGTCTACGGGTTCGAGGACGTCGCTCTCCCTCCTCTCCCATCCGGAGCCCGATTGGTGCTCGGTGAGTCGAGGCCAAAGGTGCCGGGAAGCAGCAGCTCGGCGGTGGCCGGCGAATCGCACGACACCATGATGTGGTCCAAGCTTCGCGAGTACGTAGCGCTCCACGAGCGTGACGACGCCGGCGCTTGCGGTGTCGGTGGCGAGGTCTGGCCAGCTGCCTCGGCGCTGTGCGAATGGCTCGGAAACCATTCCGCTGAGGTGTGCGGCTCCCGCATCCTCGAGCTCGGGAGCGGCACAGGCGCCTGCGGACTGTACGCGGCGGCCCTTGGGGCGGCGTCCGTGCAGCTGACCGATGGCGGGCCGGTGGAGCTGATCAGCCTCGCGAGAGCGAACATCCTCCGTAATCGCCACCTCTTTCGCGCCGGCAGCAGCGTAGAGGCTCGCCGCCTCCGCTGGGAGGAGCACTCGCCCCTTCCGCGAGACGCGGACCTGATCATCGCCTCGGATGTTTGGTACCGCCACGCAGACGGCGCGGCGAATGCGGCGCTCGCCCGCACGCTGCGAGAGCTGCTCGACCAGCCGCCGAAACCCCGCGCCATCGTCGCGCACGAGCACCGCAGCAGAGAGGCGCCCTTCGATGCGACGTTGCCGCGGTGGGACGCCGACGACGAGCTCCTCGAGGGGTTCGCGGCTGCGGCCCGGGAGCACGGGCTGCGGCTGGAGGGCTTGTGGTCGAGGAGGCCGCGCTGCCATGTGCGAGGCAGCTTCCGGTCGTGGGACGCCGATGTGTCGATTGTCGAGGTGTTCGCGATCCAGACGCCGCCGACGGGTGAGTGAGGTTGACAAAAAAGAACACAAACGCATATCCTCTCCGCCATATCTCCGGAGTGAAGAGATTATAGGCGAGCAGCAGGGACCCGAGGGACCATGTGGAAGACGGCTAGTGCTAGTTCCCCCATCCGCATCGGGCCAGGACGACCCCCCGGCTAGTCGCCGACCACACCCACAAAGAACCCTGCACAAAGACCGCAAGGGCGGGGACCTGTACCTTTTTACCCATCTCACCGCATCTCACAGTAGAGAGGTGTCCGTTTTTATTTATTTATTTATCCGGACTCTCCTCGCGACGACATAAATAAAACACACATGACAATAAGACGACGAACCACTCTCCTTCCTTCACTAATATGCATATATGCCTCGACCCCCCTCACACGTCGTCGCGACGGTGTGTGTGGCCCAGGATTCAGCAACGACGTGTGGAGATGCGCGCATCGAGAGCCCAAGAAGAGGGCACATACACGGTGTGCAGAGCTCTGCACACTGTGGTCTCGCGCGCTGCGCTGCTTGCAAGGACCGGAACAAACGTGCCGATCGCGGCTCGCCTGGCGGCCGCGCAGCCCTCTCAGGCCGCGGGCTCGACGATGCGCCCGGCGGCGGCGCTGGCGAACCCATTCAGCGACCCCCCCACGCTGACGTACCCTGACGCCGACGGTATCGCGTCGGCGCGACGCAGTGCCTCCTGCTCGATGAGTGGCCGGCCGAGGAGCGGCGCGCCGAGGAGCGGCTCTCCGAGCCGCTTGGCGAGCGGCGTCTCGCCGACCGCGAGGGGCGAGACGCGGGAGGGCCGCCGCTGCCGCTGGCAGCAGCGCAGGGGCGCCAACGCCGCGGCACACGCGTCCGCAAGTCGCCGAGGCCCCTCGCCGCCGCTCCAGAGGAGAAGCACCGCGCCGGGCGGGAAGGCGATCCGGCACGCGGCGGAGACCCGGCCGCCGTACGCAAAAACGCCGCTCCAGACCAAATGGTACGCGACGAAGCCGAGCTCGACGGCGCCGCACCACGACAGCACGGCCGGCCTCGCGGCCTTTGGCGGGCTCGGGCTGGTCTCCGCTACACCGGCCTCCTCGGCGGCGCTAGCAGCGGAGGCGGCGGCCGCGGCGGCCGCGGCGGCGACGGCCGCGGCGGCGCTGCTGCTTCCCGCGGTGGCGGCCTCCCCGACCGATCCGCTCTTAGGCGTGGTTTGGAACTCGGCCTCGCCTGGAGTGAGGATGCCTCCCACCCACGCGCAGCACTGGTGCGGCAGCATGCCGGCGGCGACGACCGCCGCCGGTACGACCCGCAGGAGGAGGAGGGGCGCGAGCAGGAATGCGCCGGCGGGCGAGCGGCGGCGGAGCGGCTCCGAGTAGCGGCGGCCGAGCGCGACGCACGCGATGAGGGTCGAGGCGGCCATGTGGATCATCACGGGCGCGAGGTAGACGAGCGCCGGGTAAAACTCGTCCGGCGCGGCGACGAAGAGGCCGAGGTACTCGAGCCAGGGCGCGGCGATCTGCCAGGACATCCAGAGAGGCCACTGGGCGGAGAGGCACATGTGGTAGACAAGGTGCGCCTGCAGGGAGGGGGGTCCGAGGGACGGAGGGCTCCGCGGAGAGGAGAAGGAGAGGCGCGGGCCCGGCCGCCAGGAGGAAGGCGGTCTAAGGCGGGCTGCGCGCCTTCTTCAGCGCGGCGCAGCGGTAGCCGCAGATCAGCTGCCTGCCGTGCAGCCGGATCAGCTGCGCCCACCCGAACGTCCACCGGCGCTGCTGCGCGCGGTACGCCTCGACAGTCGCGGGCAACTCGGCCGGCACGGGCACCTCGGCGAAGGCGGTGCGGTAGCCGGCAAACAGGATGCGGAAGGAGAGCTCGCAATCCTCCACCTGCTCCGTGGGCCGGGTGGGCTGCCTCCCGCCTCCCCCCCCCCCCCTCTCTCTGTTTCTCTCCTTCTTCCTCCCTCTCTCTCTCTGCCACCTCTCTCTCTCCCTCTCCCTGCACCCTCTCTCTCTCCCTCTCTCTGCCGCCTCTCTTGCCTCTCTGCTGCCGGGCGGGCGGGCGGGCGGGAGAGGGCCGCGCGCCAAGCTCGCGGCGCGCCAGCCGCCCGCCGCCTCGATGGCGGAAGCGCGCCACACGCCGGCGGTGCCCGTGAAGTTGACGAAGCCTAGGGGCGGTTCCGGGAGGCTGCTGCGGAGGCTCTCTCTCTCTCTCGCCGCGCCGCGGGCGTGAGCGGCGGACGGCTCGCCGACAATGGCCGAGCGCCACACCATTTGAGCAGCCTACGGCGGGGGAGAGGGCCGCTTGGGGGGGGGGGAGCGGCGTCGCGCGACGGGCGGCGCTTTCCCGGCGGCGCGCGTGGTGGTCGTCCAGCGAGAGGGACTGCGAGAGCGTGAGCAGCGAGTCTAGCGCGTTGAGGTGCGCCCACTGGCCCTGCACCAGCGCAAGGTCGCCGAGCGGCTCGCCAGCGCGCGAGTAGAAGCGAGGGACGGTGCGGTGGAGAAAGTCGTCGTCCGGCACGAAGTCGGCGTCGAACATCGCCAGAAACTCGGCGCTCGTCCGCTTCCGTCCTAGCTCGAGCGCGCCAGCCTTGTACCCGTCCCGCCTCTCGCGCCGGATGACGGAGCAGCGCACGCCGCGCGCACGCCACGCCGCCGCCGTCTCGTCGACCAGCGCGGCGACCAGCCGATCCGTAGAGTCGTCGAGCACCTGCACCTCGAACGCCTCTCGCGGCCAGCGCAGGCTGCACGCGGCGCCGATTGAGCGGGCCGCCACCGCACGCTCGTTGTACATCGGAAGCTGCACGCACACAGTCGGAGTCGGAACCGGGAGCGGCAGCAGCGAGCTCTCATGCTCCGCCACGGAGCCGCACAGGGAGCGCCATACCGAGATGCCGCAGAAGCCGAGCCGCTCGACCAGCCCGAAGACAATGAAGAGGACGATCAGCGTGTAGATGGTGTGCGCAAAGCCCGAGATCATGGCGAGCGTCCAGTATGGCAGCCCATGGTGCGTCAGCACCCCGAATAGCAGCGCATCCGAACTCATTCGCTCCCTCTGCAGCGGCAACGACGTGGTTTCACACAAACACGGATCGACACACCTCTCCCAGCTCGCGCCGGACTCTGCGGCTCGCCGCCGCCGCCGAAGACTCGTGAATTCTTCTTTTGTACTTTTGAAAAATAGCGAGAGTTGCCTAGTGTCGTGCGAGGGAGTTGTGTTGTAAAACTCTTTTCTTCGAGGCAAGGGCTCTCTAACGCGTGGACTCAGGGGGGGGGGGGGGCGACGAGGGGCGAGGACCACGAGGCTACTCGCTCTGCGTCTCGACCGACGGCGTGGCCCTGCGCGCGCGCTCCTGCGCCCTTGTCAGCAGCCACTTGTCGAGCGCGTCCCACCCGCCCCGCACACGCGACCAGCCGTAGCGGCGCAGCACGCCCCGCAGCGCCGAGAGCCAGCCAGACCAGCGCGCCTCGCGCCGCCGCGGACCAGTGACGCGAGGCCGAGCCATCGCGATCTGCAGCGCGACGTCCAAGTCCGCCTCGAGCCGCGGTGCCGCGTCCGCAATCCCGCCGAGCATGTCTCTGCGAGGGGGCAGGGGGGCAGAGAGCGGGGGTCGGCACGGGCAGGGGTGGGCTGCCCTCTCTCTGCGCCGAGGCGCACCGCTGCAGGCGGTCGCGCTGGGCGGGCGACGGAGGAGGTGGCCACGGCGGCCACCTCGGGGCGGGCAGCCGGCCGCGCCAGAGCCAGTGGAAAGGCGAGGCGCGCTCCGCCGGCGCTGCCGGTGCCGCCGGCCAAGCAGAGGCAGCCGACGGCGGCGGCAGCGGCGGAGAGATGGAGGCCGGGCGCCAGCTGCACCACATCACAGAGGCTGTCAGCAGGACGGCGACGCAGACTCCCTTGCTCGCGAAGGAGGGCTGCGGCGGCGGTCTCGACGGCGGCGGCGGCGGCGGCGGCGGCTCCTGCGGCTGCTCCTGCGGCCGATCCTGCTGCTGCGGCTCCGGTTCCGGTGGCAACGACGGTGTCGGTGATGTCGTTTGCGGGCTAGCCGCCGGGGACAGAGACGGCGGTGGGACGGGAGAGAAACGCACAGATGATTGCCCGGGCTCGAGCTTGCGCCTCGCTGGCTTGTGCCGAGTCGTGTGCTCGACGCCCTCGCGCTGTTGGGCTGACGCGAGCGCGTCCTTGAACCGCGACACTCGGCCCAAGTCTGCCGTCTCATCCTCAAGGTGCTCGTCAGATCCTTCTGTCGGGCGGCGCAGCAGAGTCTCGGCCTCCTTGAGCCAGGGCGGCGTGCGACTGGTGGCTTCAGCTGCCTCGGGTTTGGTCACCGCTCGGATGAGGCGGCGCGGCGTGCTCGGGCGGAGGCGCCGTGCGGCATCGTCCGGAGAGGAGGGCTTGCGTGGCGGCGGCGCGGGGATGCGAGACGTCATCTTGCCGCCTGGGGCAAGCGCCAATCTTCGGCGGCTGGCAGTTGCAGTCGGCGGGGAAGAGAAAGAAATCGCTAACGCAAAGCGAATCCCGATAACAGTGGCCAGGGGCGGGGGCTTGCATTTTTGCCGTCGCCAGTCGCACTCCCAAACGCTACAACGGGGGCGGCGGCGGTGGCGGGGGCGGCGGCGGCGGCGCGACGGGGTTGGGTAGGCCGGGGGTGGGGAGGCTGCCGTGCTCGAGAGCACTCGAGCTGCCGTGTGCGCTGCGCGTGCCCGGTGCGCGCACCGCACACCATACGGCGGGAAACAGACGGCGAGGGGGGCGCGGCGGCAGCGGCGCAGCGCGCGCGCGGCGCGCGCGACGGAGGGGCGGAGCAGCGACCGCTGAGCGCGGTCGCTGCTCCGTCTGTCCCGGAGCGCCGTCTGCGCGGGGTGCGCGTCAGGAGAGGGGGCAAGCGTGGCGGCGCGGGACGCGCGGCGGCGGCGGCGAGCAGCCGAGCGCTCCGTGCGCGGTGAGGCAGCCGGGCGACGAGAGGTAGGAGGTGCTTGCGACGGCCGGCGAGCGCTCCCGCGCCTGCGGAGGGGCAAGGCCTGAGCTCGACTGGGGCTGGTTCGCCCTGCTGGGGCAGGCCGTCGTGTTTCTTCCCGACTCGCCGGCGCTAATTGTGACACTTGCAGTCGCCTGCGCGTGGCCGGCCGCTGCTCTCCCCTTTTGACCGTCCTCTGCCCGGACCCTGCCCATACGCAGGTCAAGTGGAAGCTCGACGAGGAGACAGAGGGCGAGCAAGTTGACATCGCAACGCCCGCCAAGTTGCAAGCTGCCGTGGCCACGACCGATAATGTAAAGACGGGGAGCGGTGGGCCCGCCACCGCACCAGCGACACCGGCCGCGGCTCGCCTCCACGCGCCGGCTCGGAAGAGGGGCTGTCGGCGGCGCAGCAGAGCGGCTCGCCTCGGCGCTCGAGCCGCCGACAGCCCCACTCCTCGACGCGACGGCCGCTCCCGGAGCCAGCCGGTGCGCGCCCGACCCACGCCCCCTCTCGCACCCCTCCGACCCCCCCTGCGCGGCGCACCTATCCGCTGTGCGCCGGCTCGAGCGCCTATCCTTCGCCAAATCGCGACGTTTGAGCGCAGCGCACGCGTCCCACACGTCACGCGCGCGCAGGAGAGCGTGCGGCACAGTAGTAGCGTGTACTCGCCGAGGGCATCGCGCCGAAAACCCCGCGCATTCCGCCCCAGCAGAGGCTGCAGCCGATGCGACAAAAACACCACTGTAAAACGGTGAGTACTTGGGGTTGAGTGGGCTTGCTTGCTCCCTTAGCCGGGAGCAAAATGCAAGAAAGATAGACAACCCTCCTACATGCAGTCATACCCACAGCGCCAGCAGCGCCATCAACGAGAAGCCCAGAAGGAGCATCAGCATGCTGCCACACACGTGCTCCGCCTTGGCGAGCTCGCGCTGCGCCACCTCTATCAGGCCGACGTGCAGAAAGGTGCCGGCGGCGACGGCGGTTAGCGCCCCGGTGAGCGCATTGTCCGCCACCTGCGAGGGAGGTGGGAGGCGGCTGAGCCGTTGTATAGCGCGAGCCGTTCGAGGCACCACGCGCGCGCACCGTTGTGAGCGCAGTCCCAAGCATCACTCCTGTCGGCGTCGTGACGGAGAAGGCGAGCATCCAGCAGGCAATCGTGCGTCTAGACACGGCCAGATGCCTCACGAAGCTGGCGCCCAGGGCAAAGGCCGCGAAGGCCTTGTGGGCGAGGATGCTGATGAAGATGGCCCACGCCGTCTGATCGCTCACGCCCAGCGACAGCCCGGCCATCAACGAGTGGAAGGAGAGCGCGCTGAAGAGGATGATCGACGGGATCAGCCCGGAGCTGAGGAGTGGCACCACCTCTTCGCCTGGCGCGTGGTCGGCGGGCTCGGCCTCGTCTTCGTCGGAGAGCCTTACCGGCGCCGGGGCGGTGCCCCGCTTCGCAATCGCTCGCGTGGTCAGCTGGTCGATGATCAGCATCGCCAGCATGCCCAGGCTGCACAGCAGCGGCGCCACGGGGTAGTCTATCCCCATTGCGTCGGAGAGAGCCTCAGTCGCATCCGGGAGCAGGTGGCAGAAGCCCGCCGCTATGAACACACCGCCGCTGAACGCCACGCCAAGCTCGAGTGCCGATGACTGCCCGGTTCCGAGACACAGGGGGAGCGTGCTCCCACCGAGGCCCGTCAAGAAGATGACTGCCGAGCGGGAGGCATTGAGCGCCCATGGTGGTGGAGCTTGGGCGGCCGCCCAGCGAGGCTGGGACATCCAAGCGGCGTCGGGAGTGGCGCGGCTAGTGAAGTGTGGGCTAACTAACTCGCGCAGAAATAAAGAAATATGCCAGGCGTCATCTTATCAAGCCTCGCCCGAGCGCCATCGCTGTCGCCCACCCGACGCTCCACACACACATACCCGCAGCCTGCCACGAGCACGACCCGTCTCCCCAAGGCGCCACCATGCCGTCTGCCGCTGTCGTTGCCGCCAGCCCGGCTCCAGCTGCTGCTGCCGCGCCACCTCCCCCTCGAGCGCATCGAGCGCGTCGACACAGAGAATATTTTACACCCCGGCCCGGGATGTGCGGTTGAGAGAGAGGGAGAGAGTTTTTAGAGAGATTTTCAATACCAAACAACTCTAACACTCACACGTCATTTGGAGCCTGGAGCCCTGTTCACGCGCGCGCGAGACGTGCAGACAGGGTTGCCAGGTGAGAGCGAATGGCGCGGTTCACGCCTCGCACAACAGAGAGAGAGATGCGCTCTGCATGGTGGGACATAAAAGAGAGCGAGTACTTTTGGGCGAGTAGGCCGTGCGGTCAACGCTGCCGCGCGCGACTTTGCGCGCGAGGCGGCGCAGCTTGAGAACGGCGGTGGGCGAGAAGCCGCCGCCGAACGTCTCGTGGAGCAGCAGGTTGAAGTTGTTGCGCTTGACAAAGATCGCGTCGTGCTCGTGGTAGAAACCGCGATGCGCCTTGACGTAGCCGTGGCCGGTCTTGTGGGAGAAGGGTTGCGGTTGGCCGGGCTGCCCGCGCGCCTTGCAGCCCATGTTCAGGCGGCGGGCCTTTTCCTCGCACTGGCAGTAAGACCAGAAAAGAATTTTACAACCAAACCAAACTCTCTCGCACAACGGTCTGGGGCTCCGCACCCGTGCGCCGTGGCCGTGCTGCACAATTGGTTGGTTGGTCCCGCACTTTCGCGCACTCGGGCCCGGAAACATTGGCTGGTGGGGTATTTTGCCCACTGTGGGTGACACGGGCTGGTCGGAAAGAAGTTTTTTATTTCTCGCAAGATCGCTGAAATTTGCGAGCGCACGCCCCTGGAGACCGCCCTCGCCTCCCAGCATGGCCAGCAGACTACGTGGCCGCTCAGCATCTTCGTCGCCTTCATCGCAGCCCTCGGCCTGAGCGGCTCTGCTTCAACTATGCTCTTCATCACGTTCATCTTGGGCTTGACATTGTGCTTTTCAAAAATTTCTCTCTCTCTTCTCTCTCTGATTGAGAGAGAGAGAGAGATTATTAGCAATACCACACAACTCTATTTTTGTTCTGATTGATGTCTGTCTGTCTGATCACGCTGCGTTTATCGCACTTGCTTGCTTGCTTCGTTCGCCGGTGCTCCAGGTGCAGCAGCCAGTTGCTCTGCTCTACGGCAACATTCCGCCTTTGATCGCTCCTCGCAGAGAAGGGAGAAAAAGAATTTAAACAAAACAACTCTCTCTCACAGCACACAGGCTCGACACAGGTGCGAACTGGCGCGTGCTAGTACTATCACCGGCACACCACCGGAGCAAAAGAAATAGAGGACGAATATGCCTGGAGCTTGCAAGCCCAGCGGCGGCGATCCTGCCGGGGCGCCGCTGCTCGGGCAGCGCGTCGTGCTCGGCGGCCTCTCTTCCCGCCCCGAGCTCAACGGGCAGCGGGGCGTGGCGCGGAGCTTCGAGGGCGGGCGGTACGCTGTGGCGCTCGAGGGAGGCGGCGAGAGCGTGCGGGTGCGGCCCGGTAATCTGTCGCCGGCTGCGGTGGAGCGGGCGTCGAGCGGTGCCGCGGCAGCCCCCGACGAGTTCATCGCAGCAGCGGAGCGTGGCGAGGAGGAGGCGGTGCTGGCGTGGCTTGAGGGCGGCGGGCGGGCCGACGCGACGTACGAGAGAGGCGACGTGAGAGGCATCACGCTGCTGATGGGCGCCGCCCGCAATGGCCACGAGCGGGTGGTCGACCTACTGCTGCGGCGCGGCGCGGAGCTCAACCTGCAGAGCAGCAACGACGAGACCGCGCTGATGTGCGCCGCCCGCAGCGGCCACGAGCGGTTGGTCGACTTGCTGATTCAGCACGGCGCTGAGATCAACCTGCAGAGCAGCAACGGCTTCACCGCGCTGATCGGCGCCGCCGCCTTCAACCGCCCGGCCGTCGTGCGGCGCTTGCTGCGGGCGGGCGCAGACACGGCAGCGCGCAATGCGAGCGGCAAGACGGCGCTGCAGATGGCCAAGGGGGAGGGCCACGCCGAGTGCGTCGAGGCCTTCAAGAAGCACGTCCAGGAGTCGGTCGTGGCGGGACGGCCCACGGCGACGGCAGCCGGCGGCGAAGGCGCAGGCGGCGTTCCCCCCGGCGGCGCTTCTTCGGCTGGATCGAGAGTCGCGAGGACGCTATCTCCAGCGGCGGCGGCGGGGCGGGCGTCGAGCGGTGTCGTGGCAGTCTCCGATGCGATCGTGGCAGCGGCTGCGCGAGGCGAGGAGGAGGCGGTGCTGGCGTGGCTCGACAGTGGCGGGCGGGTCAACGCGACGTACGAGAGACGAGGCGTGAGCGGCCTCACGCTGCTGATGGGCGCCGCCTACAGCGGCCACGAGCGGGTGGTCGAGCTGCTGCTACGGCACGGCGCTGAGGTCAACCTGCAGAGTAGCAACGGCTTCACCGCGCTGATGCTCGCCGCCTGCAGCGGCCACGAGCGGGTGGTCGAGTTGCTGCTGCAGCACGGCGCTGAGGTCAACCTGCAGAGTAGCAACGGCTTCACCGCGCTGATGCTCGCCGCCTGCAGCGGCCACGAGCGGGTGGTCGAGGTGCTGCTGCGGCACGGCGCGGAGATCAACCTGCAGAGCCGCAGAGGCAGCACCGCGCTGATGCTCGCCGCCCAGGACGGCCACGAGCGGGTGGTCGACTTGCTGCTGCGGCACGGCGCTGAGATCAACTTGCAGGACATCAAAGGCTACACCGCGCTGATGCTCGCCGCCCTCTTCAA